TGGTGTGTGTGTGTGTGTGTGTGTGTGTGTGTGTGGTGTGTGTGTGTGTGTGTGTGTGTGTGTGTGTGTGTGTGTGTGTGTGTGTGTGTGTGTGTGTGTGTGTGTGTGTGTGTGTGTGTGTGTGTGTGTGTGTGTGTGTGTGTGTGTGTGTGTGTGTGTGTGTGTGTGTGTGTGTGTGTGTGTGTGTGTGTGTGTGTGTGTGTGTGTGTGTGTGTGTGTGTGTGTGTGTGTGTGTGTGTGTGTGTGTGTGTGTGTGTGTGTGTGTGTGTGTGTGTGTGTGTGTGTGTGTGTGTTGTGTGTGTGTGTGTGTGTGTGTGTGTGTGTGTGTGGTGTGTGTGTGTGTGTGTGTGTGTGTGTGTGTGGTGTGTGTGTGTGTGTGTGTGTGTGTGTGTGTGTGTGTGTGGTGTGTGTGTGTGTGTGTGTGTGTGTGTGTGGTGTGTGTGGTGTGTGTGTGTGTGTGTGTGTGTGTGTGTGTGGTGTGTGGTGTGTGTGTGTGTGTGTGTGTGTGTGTGTGTGTGTGTGTGTGTGTGTGTGTGTGTGTGTGTGTGTGTGTGTGTGTGGCCCGATGCCACGGGCCAGCCGCCGAACCACGTGAACTTAAACTCGATCCATGTGTGGGATGCGAGTAAGCGACAACATGTTCCACATTTTTCCGTTTTTCTTGGTCGCCTCCGCTGGCGGCGCGTCTTACCTATACCCAGTAACAATGCCAGAATTACCCGCTCGTTTCCGGCGGCTCTCCGTCGCTCCTTTCTAGTTCCTCTCCTTCTTCTGCTTCTTGTTGTCTGTTGCTACCTCGTTCACCCGCTTGTCTTTTTCTCTCTCTTTTTTTTTTTTTGGAGGGTCTTTAAACTGTGAGGGTGACCCTCTGCTACGGGAACTTGTATCATTTCACTTACATCCTCCGAAGAAGGCTGGTCCACCAGCCGAAACTGTTAGGATTAAATAATATTTTATTGTTTTGTTTCCTATACTGCACTATTCTCGAAGTTTATAACTTATATATATATATATATATATATATATAATATATATATAATATATTGTAAGGACGAGAAATAAGACACAACGCCTTTGCTGCAGGCCGGCTGTTCTTATTCTGCTCCGTCTTCGTCCTCTTCCTCCTAGCATGCGAGTCTGTGCCAGAGAGAGTTCCAGTTTCGGTTTTCGTCATTACACTCGGCCATGACTGCTAGCGCGCAAAGGGCAATTTTCTCTGGAGGGCGGCACTGGGAGTGCCGTGGTAGTCTGTCATGTGCACGCCTCGAGCTGTCCTGTGGAACTGTCCTGTACTCTGGTGGACGACCCTGGCTGTGTCGAGGTGGTCGTTGCAGGTCGCGTCCGCGCGGCAAGTTAATGTAGTCACCTGGAGAATGTAAACCCAGCAGGTGATACTGGCTGGTGCGGAGTGATCGCATTGGTGGCGGACCATCGCGATGACTACCCCTTCGCTGCTTGGATGACATTGCAGGGACACCAGTATGCAGTACTGCGGCCCACACTGAGCGGGGACGCCTGCGTTGTTCAGAGCGAGGGAAGGTACGATGGGCTATATCGATAGATATCAGCGACATCGCTGTGTAGACTTTGCGCGTAGACTTGCGACGCAAGTCGTGCTCTAGCGTCTTCGCTGATGCACTGCTGGTCGAAGTGGAGGTTTTTGCCAATCCGTCACGTGCGTTCATGTCGACATGGCCAGTTGCCTCGCCATCCGGAGCAACCGTGAACTGCACCGGAATGACTTCGATGGCATCCTCCTCAGGTGGAGTAGGCACTTGTGGCTCGTTAGGGGAGACGGCATTTGGCAAGTTACGAGCGTCCACGCACTCGGCCAATGACGGCAAAGGTGGCAGGGGATGGTGCGGCTCCTTACTATGGGTCAAACTGGCCGTTGTGACGTGTGCTTGGTCTCCGGCTGGTTGTGAAAGAGCCGCCGTCGTCACGCAGCAGGTCAATGGATCCAGGCCATTTGGGGCTGACCAGCTTGGAGGCTGGCTCACTGGCTTCTGTGCTTTATAGGCGGTCCTAAGTTGGGTCAAGGGTAATTGTGTGTCAGGTGTCGACGCGGAGTCAGAGATCTGCCCGGAGGAGTACACCGTCCAGCTTGTCTCGATGATTGCCGCAGGGTACTCTGGGAAGCTGTCCGGGGAGGGGGCACGCGGCACAGCTGTAGGGGGGCGCGGCGCCTCGTGAGGTTGATCTCCGAGGTAGGGCAGGTTGGCAGAGGGTGCAGCTGCCTCGTCGTTGTGCTTCTCAATAGCCCCTTGCTCGGTAGTGGCGAGGGTAGAATGAGAGGTAGCAGTGAGGTCAGACTCAATTCTTCCAAACGCAGCAATGAGCTTGGCGCTCCAGTCCGCCCAGGACTGCTGCCGCACGCCTTCGTACCTGTGCCACGCAGCAGCAGGATTTTGAAGGCGGTCTAAGGCCACGCACCACTTCTGATTGTCGCTCCATCCCTTGCGAGCTCCGAGAGCATTGATGGTAGCCACCCAATCGACGGCATCGTCCTGGAAGCCGCGAAACTCGGGTAGCTCGGAGGCAGCCGGTGGTGGTGTCACGGCAGGCGAAGCTCCAGAAAATAGCGACGCCACACAGCCAAGTTGGTGTGAAAGAGCCGCGAGAGTATACTGGAGCTTGCTGCGGCTCTCGGGGGAAGTTGTTGAATGGTCTTGCGAGGCGGCCGCGGCCAACGCCTCATCGATAATGTGAAGTCCCGGCAAGGCAGCAGGGAATATCGCAGAACTCGACGCTGTCAGGGCGCCGACCTCGAGGCGGAGTCGCGCAATGGTGCGCGAAAGCTCGGTGGCACTCTCGGGCGGCCCACATGCGGAGCCAGTGGGGACGTGTTCCCCGATCAGCGTACTCACTGCTGTGGTACCCTCGGCCGAGGGAGCTTGAACAGCACCCCTGAGCGGCTGAGGTGCCGATGAAGCACTGAGCAGGACGTTGTCGCAGTGGGAAGCGTGAACGGCATTCCCGGTCAACGACAGGCCATGTACTGTCGTGGTGGGGCCGGGGCAAGCCTGCCCAGGAGCCATCGAGAAGGCCTGGACGCCGTCCCCGAATGGCGGCACAGGTGCTCCCGGCTGCAGGAGGGCTGTCGGCTCCATGATCGAGGAAGCGTGAACAGCGTTTTTACGATGAGAGAACCACGCTGCCGATGATCCACGAGGGTACGGACAGGTGGCTTGTGCCGCAGGGTTCACTTGTCGACCTGTGCTCACGGCACAATCCGTGGCGAAGGACGCGTAGACGGTGTCCCTTTTCATGAAGAAATACCGGTGATGGGTATACTAAAGCCGCCGAGGAGGCCTTGGCGCCATCCCCGAACGGTGGTGGCAGTGGCGGCAGGTGAACAGCTGCTGAGGAGGCCTTGACGCCGTCCCCAAGCGACGCTTACCGCATCTGCATGTCGGCGGGCGTCCTGGATGACGAAGCCGGGACGTATGACGTCTTCTTCGTCGACTGCGCCATTGTAAGGACGAGAAATAAGACACAACGCCTTTGCTGCAGGCCGGCTGTTCTTATTCTGCTCCGTCTTCGTCCTCTTCCTCCTAGCATGCGAGTCTGTGCCAGAGAGAGTTCCAGTTTCGGTTTTCGTCATTACAATATATATATATATATATATATATATATATATATATATATATATATATATATATATATATATATATATATATATATATATATATATATTGCCGCACTCGAAACAGACAGAGAACGAAGACGATGTGCGCGCCAGCAGTCTCGTGAAAAGGGACACAGAAAGAGACGACGTGCTTTTGTTAGGTCTCTTGCTCTTGACTCTTGCATAAAAACACACGCCGTCGGTTCTCGGACGCAACGTCTCGGTGATCTGCTTACGTTGAACCGCGACACTGGTGGTGGTGCTGGGTGTCGATCCCAGTACTTCTCGCAAGCGACAATATCATCTTGCATTACAAATATTTAAAAGCGGGTACCATTAATTAAACTCCGAGCATCGCGTACGATTGAAGTAGCCGTATTTATTTTGGCATGGTTTGTTTATTTAAACAACTTCATTTCACTAATGAGGTCCGTCTTGGAGGCAAAGTGGTCATGGTTCTTGACTGCTCAGCCGAAGGTCGTAAGTTCAATTTTATCCGCGGCAGTCGCCTTTCGATGGAGATGAAATGCTGGACGCCCATGTTCAGTGCGTGGTTAGCGCACGTTAGAGAACATCCAGGTTGTCGAAATTTCCGGAGCCCTCCACTATGGCGTCTCTCATAAGCAAGTTATAGTTTTGGAACGTAAAACACTAAATTTTATTATTATTGACTTTGCTAAATGAAGTCTGTTCGAGGTGTATGACTCACAGAATGTTATTGCGTTGGCACTGGTCATTCGTCGAGAACATATACGACCACACTTTCTCTTTCTCTGTCTTTTCACACTTTCTTCTACCTTTTTCAAACTCACCTTTCCCGTTCACCCATGAAGGGTAGTAAGTCGTCTTGGTCTGGTTAACCTACCTTCCTGCTTTTCCTTCTCTACCATTTCTCTCTCTAGGATTGAAACTGTAGAACCTCATGTTTTGTCAGCCTTATCACGATGCCACAAAAGGTGTTTTGCCTATGTGCTCCTCCCGTAATTCTCCACTTGTTAGGTGCACTTCAGCCAAATTCGACTGATGGTAAAAGCTCCGAGGACGTTGCAGTTTCTACGTAAACTTCTTAAGGTTGATTCCTACCATTATGCCACGATATATGCTCAATGTCACTTTTTCCACCTCATGAGAGATACCGAAGCTTGAAGCAGCTAGAGTACACGCCACTAACACCTGAACAAATTAACTGAGTCATGTTTGCTTCTGCACAAGTACTTCCTTTACTATTACTTGTGCTGGCGGGTTTATCCTGAGTCGAAACACTTATTTTACAATACATGCTAAGTTTCAACGCAGATCTCTTTTGAAAAGGTTCTCTTCACCGTTTGCTCCAATTTACATTATTCACAGTCACCTATGGAGTGGAACTTACGCGTAGCATGCCGGCAGCGTGGAAGCGCTTCACAATGTCCCGCATCGCATCCTTGGGCATTTGGGCGAACAGCGTGCAGTAGCGGCCCTTCAATAGTACCTCACCCTGGTAGTCGTGAACACGAGTCTTGAGGCACTGCTCGTAGCCGCCCAAGCTCACCAGGCTGCCCTCGAGCAGGTTGGTCGGAACCAAGCCATTGGCGGTCACCACTGTAGAAACGCGTGGGTAGTCACGGTTTATTATTTATCAAATCCGTTTCCCAATAGCGCAACAAGCTTACAGAAACAAGTTAGCGATGTAAAAGAGAAACGATGGACTTTTTACTGCAAAATTGACATATGAGAGTCACATCATGTAGCACCACATAGGACGCGCTAATCAACATAACCAGAACAGACTCGACTAGGCGTAGAGACATCATCGCATGGCCTGATTAATGCCGTATTCCGGTTTTTATCGGAGATACTGAGGTCCATGCTTGCACAGTTCTCTGCTTGTTCCTTACTTTACACTCCACGAATATTTCGATTTAAAATTTTCGCGCATACACAGAACATAGGTGTGGCCCATTGCTCTGGTTCGCATTCGCATACTTTGCAATAATCGGATAGCTATCACTGTGCCACAAGCGTTTCATCAGAAGCGTTGAGTGGCACTAATCACAATAAAAGCCAGTGGCACTTCCCAAGCTCTTGATCAAGTCTGTATAAGGTACTTTCACCGGTTAGATATATTTATTGGTTTTACTTATTTCAACATGCTGCATTTTAGAGGGACTATTACTGGAGTGTGGAGAAGCAGACACAAAAACAAATGGAAGACAAGACAAGATGCACAGAACATGACTCTTAATACTTAGAAATATATTAAAGAATTTAACGACTGATAAGAATGAGAAGTGATGACGATGAAGTACTAAGGATTAGTTTTACCCGATAAAGCAATTACAGAGTTCTACACAGCTGTAAAAAAATTAGTTGACGTTCCCCTACAATGGAAATAGCAGCAAGAAAAGCTTAGCGTGTATCCACCTGACTTATAATAGCGTTAAATAGCCCTTTTCGCAGATATACGGCGTCGGTATGGGAGTAGTTGGTTGTGAGCGAAAAATAATGATGTTGTCCATGATCGAAAAATCGAGAGAAGTGCAAAATAAATAAATAAGTAAACTTTCGGGTCTGAGTGAGGATCGGGCTCAGGTCGTTTGTGTGGTAAGCAGGTGTTCTATCTCACAGCCACGTGTCTACTTGGAAATACTCTGAAAATAACTTACTCTGCTCAGAAATGCGCTAAAAATAACGTTCATGCTTTACAAACACACCTGTCTTGTACAACACAACAAGTACTATCGCAGTAATATTTCGGGGTACAAGCGTGCATTGCCATAGGGAGTCAGAGCATGTGATTACCATAACAACTTCATGTTTTAAGGTTGGCCACCCTTTACAAAAGGCACCGACGTTGCTGCGCGTATTAACACAACGTAGTGGGTGCATATATAGCAAGTTCGAGGACAGTTCACGCGCACACTTGCTCGTGGTTTAAAGCGCGCTACATGTTATACAGAATGCAGCCATATGCGAAAGCTTCATTGACACAAGCCAGTTTCAACTTTATCGTTTACATTTTAGTAATGCGCAATTTAAATATATCGAGTAATATCTTATGATGAAAAAAAGTATGCACTAAGTGGTTGAAGTACGCACTAGAGACCGGATATCTCTATTGCATTTAACTAGTAAAGTCGAAGCTTAAAGATCCCCCAATTTATTTAATTAAATGCATTGTGTAATGCTCTCTTTTAACTATTCAAACACTATTCTACTCTGGGCCAAATAAAGTTGCTTCACTCACTCCCTCACTCACTCACTCCTCTATGCCGATGATCAGGGCTTCACCCATGTGTTTAGCAGTGAGATACTTTTGTTTCTACAAACAGGCATGCGTAAAACAACGGAACGCAACAATAAAAGGTGACAATACAATGTGACAATGTAAAGTTACAAGGGACCTCAGCGTAAGCTACTAATTTTATATCAGAAACGGCTGATTGTTGACGCAGCCCGCGATCGAGGGAATATCAGTTATGAAATAATACCGCGCGCAAACAGGAATCTGACTGGTGCACCTTTGTTGGCCTGTTTTAATTACCTGTATTTTTGTAAATTTGACAGCGTCATGTTTTCAACGAATTGCAGTGCCACAACCAGCACCAAAATATGTGACTCATGAAAACTTAGAAGCTGTATTAAAACTCATCGGTGCGGTGAATGAAAGAAGACATATTCAATTCATGATGATGCTTGGTGGAAATAGGTTTAGCAGTTTTGATGCAGTACATAAATATAATAAATCGTGGAGAATATAAAAAAAGAAACCTTGAAAATTCAAAGCGAAAACTAAAACGTTGGAAACGACGTGAAATTTACCTGTCGTAGCAACGATAAATGAAGCCCATAGTTTTCATCAGGACAGATTCCATTTTGTTGGTACCTAATATTTTGCGTGTTCGTCATATCCATGTCGGAGTATTCGATGAAGCAGTGTTTTATAAATGAGAGGTTTTGTGTGAGGTGAGGCCGAATGAAATGTACGTTGTATTTGCCCTAGTCTTCTACGCCCGCTGTTGCAGATGAGTTCAATGTTATGTGACATGGCGAGATTCTTTGAGGAGTACAAAACCTATTGATAGGTTTTGAGGAGTACAAAACCTATTGATATTTATGGTACTGCAACACATTTACTAGAGGAGTACAAATAAACCAATGAGCAAACTATTATAGGATGGAATGTTTGGTAGATCACATAAACAGTTTTCCGGAAATTATTGACATCTTCCGAGTCTCAAACTGTGATTGGTAGATGCAAATGAATCATGAAATTATATTCTCATAGTCACTCCGCTGTCCCAATGAGCCTGCATTTATGAGCTGATGTTACTGCACACTGTGTTGAACTACTACAGAAAAGTACGTTAATATTTTAATGGTTGTAATGTATTACGTATGTCATATCATCTAAGTGGCATTAAACTATACGAAAATCATATCACGTGATTTAAAAAAAGCTGCGTTCAACAGAAAACAAACGCCTATACACACACTAAATGTATTATTTATTATCATTTCAACGGTTGCAAGAAAACAAGAAGGGCTGTTTGGCAGTCCACCATTATTTTGCAGTCATAGGTAGTCATTTTCCGCAAACAGGTACATCTATTCACTAACGCGTTAAACATAAGGCAGCCCATGACGTCTCATTTTATGAAACTGTATTGATGAAATTTCGTGTCATAAGGAACGTTTAGCAGCATATATTCGTAAAGGCATTCATGGAGGCTGATGCAAGCCCGAGCACTGTGCAAAAATGGCTCGCACCTTTAAAATGTGACCAGTCGAGTACAGAATTAGAGGGGTCACGGTCGAAGAGAACGGACGGAACTCAAATTAAAGACCGAGGGTAGGTTAATCAAAGACAACATAGTAATAATAATAATAATAATAATAATAATAATAATAATAATAATAATAATAATAATAATAATAATAATAATAATAATATAATAATAATGATATTTATTATTATTATTATTATTATTATTATTATTATTATTATTATTATTATTATTATTATTATTATTATTATTATTATTATTATTATTATTAATATTATTATTATTATTATTATTATTATTATTATTATTATTATTATTATATTTGGAGCAAAAGGTGTTATGAATTGATTTTTCGATTTGATCAGAACTTGTATCACATGGAAAAGGTGCGAAGAGTGCTTAGACATACACGCGTGGAGAAGGTTCTTTACGATTGTATTAAGTTACGCTCCTTATACGACAGCTGTTTTAAATAAATCACCAGCCATAGAACCGCAATAGGTCATCAGGGCTGAGAAAAAAATCTTCTGTTGTTGAATCAAGACCTCCAGCTGAGCTCGACAAAAATGGCAGCATATCCACGGAGTGAATGATGGGGAGTGGGGCGAAGCATTCGTCCGTCCATTCGTTCTTGCTTCCGTCCGTTCCTGCGTACGCCTGTGTAAGCGTCCATGCGTCCATTCACCCATCCGTGCGTGCGTCTGTTCGTGCGTCCGTCTCTGCGTTCGTCCATGCATCCGCGCCTGCGTCCGTTCATGCGTCCATCCATGCATCTGTCTGCGAGTCCGTTCGTCCATCTATTCAGCACTCCAAGTACCACCATCTCGCATCTTTTCATCATATATTCTCCATATAGAAGCACCGCCATCCAGCGGACATTTCAAGGACTAAACGGGAGGTGGCACATGCACACTTTTTTACGGCTTGCGCTTCGGGTTTACTTCCCACCTTTACACACCTCGAGTTCATGGTATATACTAGTTCACTGTATTCATGGCTATGCGGCCCAACGCTCGCTAAACCTTTCTAAAACCAAGGAGGTTACACCCATCGAGTATAACGTAGCAACCCTTTCTTGTCAGATCGTGCTCAATGTACACGCCAATAGCTGCTAATGGGGATCGCAGCGTGCGCGTTACCGAAAGGCCGAATGCTCCTGTCTCTCATTCCCCCTTAGCAGCCATTAACATGTGCATTGAGCACTATCTTTTATTGTTCAACAACGCACAGGAGAAATCTCTCACCGGAACCACCTTGGAGGTCAAAATCGTAAGGACCACTATTTCGGGTATGTGCCACTGGTGGTTAGGTTCTACTCAGGGACGCACAAGCCACGAAATAAGGAGCTTCGCCCCTAAAAGGGTGATAGGATTGTTTAGGTGATTAACATAACAAGGCATTACATTTTTTACATCATAATTGAAGTGAAGATCACAGTTTTGGCTGCTACTCGCTTTAGTGACGACAAAACTTGGCGTTGGCCCACAGGTGTACTCACTGCGTAATGCCCACGGTTCCTTGAGCCTCAAGTGAATGAAGAGTTTGATGAGGCTAGAGGAACAGGCAGGGCTGAGTTCCCCGCTTGTTAACAGCTCCGAGACCATCGGTAGGGCCTTTCGAGAAAGCAGGTTGAGGGCTTCGTCCACATCGGCTTCGAAGCTGCGCGTTGTTGCCGCAGTGGCCGTTGGTACTCCCGTCACGACGTTTGTGGTCTCGTGGGCCCCTTCGACAGTAGCAACAAGGTGGGCGACGATGTAGCCAAGAAAGCGAAGCCTGTTGCTCCCAGTCATGCTAATTGGGCTTACTATTTAGCACTTACACACCACCCTCGCTCTTCGTACGCCGAGTGATACCTTCTTAGGGCTTCCGTCCAGCTCGTCGGCCTGACGAGCAAGCTGACATGTCCTATTTTACGTTGCCTAAGCAACACGCACTTGGTCAGCAAGTGCTTTGAGCTGCGTGGACGCACTATACTTATAGAGTAGCTAATGTCAGCGCACGCGGGCGGCTATAACTTAACGACCTGCCGACAGGCACAGCAGACCACTCAAGCGGGCCTCCGGTGTCGAATTGTCTGCGTCATCGGATCTCCGACTCGGAACAGTGCATCGTCGTACACGCTCCGTTGAGCGCAGATTATGCGGCACTCGCATCGATAGAAAAGGCAAAACACGCGGCAGAAGCGATGAGGAAGACGACAGGATGGGAACTACAGAGCGGCCGAGTTAACAAGGGCTCGCCTTCGCGCGCATTTAGAATAAGCTTGAACAACACGGGAAGGGAGGAAGTTTAACATACCGTCGAGCGGCACCCAAAGGGACTGGAATGCCGTCCATGGAGCGTGGACTGCTTCGAAGTAAATAAAAGCCATCGTGGAGGTCACCATGGCACGCTCGATCGCGGCTGCGCCAATCTAAGCTCTTTGTTGTGCGAGTATTTTGCATTCGGCAGCGTCACGGGCAATCGAAGGGCACCAGCCATGCCGCGTAACCGTGACAACTACGCAGGCTAATGCAGGAGACAAACAGCGTAAGCACTGTGTGAAAGACAAGGCAAATTGTGACCGTATGACGGAACCGATGACCGCCGCAGCACCCACATCGCTTGGAAAACAAGTTGTTGGGTTGGAGTGCCGTAATGGACATGGAAATGACGACAGATGTGCAGAGTTGACCACGCATATAAACCGTCTAGCTTAATATTTACCACATTGTTCTAGTAAAACTGCCTGCAAGGCTTCTCGTGTGTTCTTTCTGTACCTGTCAGAGCACTGCCTGTGCTAACCAGTGCCTTTTGAAAGCTTTAGACCTGACTTCGGCAAGGAAGAATACATCTTTATCCAACCCAAGTATTGAGGGTTCGTATGTTGTGAGCATTATTGTGACATTTTATTGGTATTTCACTTCTTATCAACCAGTTGTTATGATACATTTACATGTAAATAAATATAAAAAGTGCGGAGCGATACAATAGTATTTTATTGCATGATGCGAAATTATATGGTTTTATGCCACAAACGCACACATGGGCATGGCAATTAAGAGCCGTCGTAGACAAATTTTCAACAGCAAGAGGGATTTTACCATTAGTGGAGAGACATTTCCTGAGACAATTACAGCGCTTTGTTTAGTATAATACGTTTAAAAGTGGGGAGAAGCTGTAAACGTAGCAGTATACTGTGCGTCGGCCATTACAATAGGATCGCGACCGATTATTATTCGCTGTTACAGGGCTACGCATGATCGCGGCCATGTAACAGGCGGTAGTTTTACGATATTGTTAAGCTGCGTGCAATGAATTCATATGTGATGAAAGTTTACACATGTTATTATGTCACTAGGCTACATTATTCTAACTATTTGCTCCTTAAGTATAACCTTCTGGTTTCACCGAAGTATAACACCGACACGTAGGTATACATTAAACTGTTTAGAACAAGGACCGAGAAGCGAATAAAAAGAACACCATAGGAACGAACAAGCAAATAAACAAAAAATAGAACAAGGTTCGTTCCCTTAGTGTCCTTGATCTATACGCACTGTTTGAAACTTAGATGTCACTGTTGTACTTGGGGAGACAAAGAGTATGCTTGAAGGGCACATACTGACCACGATCTAGCACTGTGAAGTGAATATGGGAATTGAAAACGTTCCTTTTGCATCCACTGCTTGATTTTTGTCACACTTTTTTACCCTATGTTCTAAATATGCACCAATCAGGCCTCATCAAGTGTGGTGAATTTCTGATCCTATGAACGTTCTCATATGCGACGCTCGAAACTTAATTCGGCTGTCATCAGATGCAGATAATTCAGCAGGTCAAACAACCGTAGTTAGCACCAAAAAATGGTTTACACAAATCGCTTCATACGTCGTATAAAAAGAACATTCGGCCACCGAGTCAAACCGCCTTCCTCAACATCTCGTATTTACAATATCCTGATCTGCTTTGTATTTCCTATTATGGCTTCGTTGCACAAGAAAATATATGACAATCTTGTGGAGTGTGTCAAGGAAGACAAATGTTAATAAATACTGATGGTTCTTGAAATATAGGCTGTGGTCTTTTCAGGGAAAAAAAGAAAAAAAAAGCTAGGTAACGGTCAAGAATGTGAGTGAACTGGGGAGGTTGTGCTCTGAACTCATCAACATGCAACTATTAATTAAGATATTGGAGGCTCTCTATATCAATGCCATTTAGTGCAATGGTTGTGACCTGAGGATGTATTAAAGTGTAGCTTTGCATGGTGTTAAAGGTACAATGGTTGTTTTTTTTTCGCATCAGACGGAGACGAGAGAGGCAAGCAGTATCACAAAATTTTAAAGATTTGAGCGGACAAATGAAAACACGGTGGGCTGTTCCACGCTTTGTTTCCATCTGTCAGCTTGCATCGAACTTCGACAAGCGATCTTGTTTTTATTGCGATAGCAATTAAATGACATTCTTGGCTAGATTTTCCCGCCGGCCTCGACGTCGCCGTCGCCACCACTCACCGTATATGCATACGTATTTATATATACGAAAACGCAAGAAAGAAAAAAATCTACAAAAAAACACTGGCGCGCGGAATCAAAATTCGGACCTCTGAAACATGAGTGCGAGGCGTTAACCACTGAGCCACGGAGAAGCACGCGCCTGAACGTACAGACGACAAACTATTCATAACTACCACTTACCGATGGTGATGGGAGTTGGGGGGAGGGGAGAACTATCGTGCTGTAAGCATAACCAGCAAGATAGTGCATTGAGCGCGCGTCGCCACATCATCCCGACGCGGAGGTGCGCGCTCTCATCTCTTACGCGTCTTTTTTTGTCCCGCAGTGAGGAGGTGGTGGACGCTCAGTCGTGCGCTGTAGTCTCGAAGTAGGGAGGACCGTACTTCTTAGCTGGCTTTTTGTTGTAGAACGATTCTGTTGTAGTTACCGGGCACACAATGGTCACTGCAATCGTTGCACAATCTTTGCGAAAAGAGCGCGCTTTTCAGACACAGCAAAGTAACAATTGAGACGCTTATTCGTGTTCATCTGTACCTGTGAGTACGTTTTGTGCTTTATTTGTGCTTGACAAACGCGGGGCACTTTTATATCTGCTTGTCATTCTGCGCATGACTTTCCAGTTTGTTGCTACTGCATTCATTGCTTCGCCTTTGCGGCAAAGCTGCGACTTTTTTCCTGGCTACACTTGCAGCCTTGAAGAAAACAAGACCATTGTTGATGCGTTAATACAGGCGACACCCCTGTACAATGATTTCACATTCAATGTGCTGAAATGTTGCTTAATCCGATGTAAGAAGCTTTCGGCTTCATATAACCGACGTGTCACTATAGGTGGACCTATCTTTGTGAAAGAGGGACTCGTCATAATTGGCCGGATAGTCCTAAAGGAAGGACGAACAGCGCAATACTCTACACGGGGACACAAAAGAGGAGACACAGACAAGCGCTGCCACATTCAAACTCTACTTAGTCTTAAAGGGACAGTGTTTGAAGACACGTGGTGGCGCTGCCAGTATATGCCGTCAACAGAAGATACTTTGAAAGGAGGTGAGCATTGCCTTTTTACGAATATCCTTGCTGTATTTTGCTGCCACTTCCCATGCGATCACTCTCATTTCTAACATGCGTTAAATGGCATGGTGAATCCCCCTCCAGTTTTTTTTTTTTTTTTGCAGGTGGCTGATACCTGTAGAGCCACCAGTTGTTGTCCACAAGCAACCCTTTAGAACTAACCAGACAAGGATGACGAGGTGCTTTTCGACAAAGACAGGTCTACATATATCGACACTTGGGCCGCCTGGACTGGTGCTCCTTACATCTCTTTAAATAACTCTTAATGCATTGAATTACAAAATGTCGTCTGTATATCTGTATAGCTCAACCATGGCCTTCACTTAGAGGCTTGATATTTTTTCATAGAAAATCTGAGCAGATTCCTAATTGTGGTTTAGGGTTTTTCACATATCAAACTCCATAGTAAATCGGCGTCTTGGATGACCTAGTGATCAGTGATCTTTGTATAGGAAACATCCCACGTATCAAAACTGGGCATTACGCCCTTGACCTGGGTATAAGTGCCACTAACGTACACTCTTCTGTCTGAATACTCCGGTCATGATTCAAGTACCATGACGTCCAGGTCACGTCCCCTTGGAGCCTGTCACCAAACTGCAGGGATGCGTCACTACAGATGCGCTGATCCACATGTTCCCGTTTGTATGAAGGCCTGTAATAGTCCCACCAACATCTATGAAGAAAGGATAGCACTAAGCACTTCGTCTTGTGGGACACCGTGGCATGTGCTATCGAAAGTTCTAACAGCCGTAGTTAACAAAAAAACTAAACATTTTGCGCGGGTACGGACCGTACGTTAATAAAAAAAATCAGCCACAGAGTTTAAGTGCCCGTAGGATAATACTACTACGTGATCGGCTCTTCAGCATAGTGTTTTAATCGACCTGCCTAGCTTGGCGCCACTTGTAGGCATGAGACTTTGCGACTGAGCCTACCTTGATTAGTTCCGGGTTAGCGCTCCCAGAGATGCGCCAAAAGTGGTGACAGCATGACAGTAGTACTTCGAATTTCGCAGCCCAATCGCCTCCCCTCATAAAACCCTTTGAATACTTAATCGACGTAGCGCGTTTTGAAACATAGGACAAGGGAAGGGACAGAGGGGAGCGCTTACTTCAAACAAAACTTTATTTCGAGGAGCGTACATATATATGCTCGTGAAATTCGAAAACAACAGACAAACAGATGAAAAACCCTCTATTGCCATGCGCTAAAAACTTATGATCTCAAAAACGACAATTCTTTTTCACAAAGACCGAGAGAAGGATTGCTGACGCAGTTCAGCCCTATTCTACTGATCCTTTCTGCTTCAATAATCTCCCTTGTCACTTTATTTCTGTTTTTTCCTATGATTACCGTACCATGAAAAAGTGGTTTGCAGCCACACGTGCTGCAATGTAGTGCCAAAAAACCATCTCGACCATTTTTTACGTTGCAAGTGTGTTCGCGGAGCCGGTCATTAATACACCTGCCAGTTTGTCCTATGTAGTGTTTACCGCATGAAAGAGGTATCTGATAGATTACAAATTGCGTGCATGTGACAAACAGTGTTAAGTACTTTTTAGGGCATCCTGGTTTAGCATGTGAAACAACTTTCATACACAAGTACGAGAGCTTTTTCGGGGCAGAAAACACCACCTTTACATTGGCCCGCTCTCCAACCTTTTTCAAGTTGTGGGAGATTTCATGCAGATAAGGCACTACGGCCAGCTTCTGACGTCTCACTGGCTCAACATGAGGGAGGCCTTAATGCAAGGACTGAAGCTTCTTGACCAGAATTCCCGCGACGGAAACCTGTACTTGAGAGGGGTACCCAGCGTCCAGAAGTCGTTCTGCTTGTTCCTTGAAACTAGCTGCCATCAGATGTGGACAAGACTTCTGCAAGGCGTTACTAAAGCACATGTTTACAATGCCTCGTTTTACGAGCTTAGTATGGGCGGAATGGTACGGAAGCAAGGGTTTGTTATTCCTCGGTTTGTACATCCAACAAATGTGGTCTAGGTGAAATGTGAGAGCGATATCTAAAAATCTGAGAGTGTTATTAACAGGCAACTCATGGGTTTAAACAAGGGGACTAAACCGCTCCTTGATGAAGTTGAGAATATCTAGGGCACAAAAAATGGGATCACAGTCAAGAAGAATGAGGAAGTCGTCAACAAATCTAAAGATGCGCATGATTCGGTAGTCACTAAGGTCACCGGAAACGGTTCTGTCGAGCTTGGCTAAAAACAAATTACTTAAGATTGGAGCAATACATGATCCAATACAAATACCCTCCTTTTGAAGGTGGGGCTTCCCATTCCATTGAATAAAAGTAGATTGCAAATAAAAGAATAAAAGTTCTAAAAAGCTACTAGACGATATACCAGCACTATTCTTAAATGTTATGCTACCAAGCTTGTCAATGCTCTCTTCTACACAACTAAGAATCGATTTGTGAGGCAACGAATAGTACAGATCTTTTACATCAATGTAAAAACCACACATGTGCTGATTCGAACGGGATCGGACGATCCCGTTCTGACGATCCTTCAGTCCCTTCCCTTGTCCCTTCCCTTGTCCTATGTTTCAAAACGCGGTATGGCGATTAAGTATGTCTTACCAACATGCCCAACTTTATACTCTAGTCAACCCTTTGAATATTTCTGATCGACTGACGGAAGCTGTTTTGCAGTAAAAATGGCTTAGAAATGGTGGTCATCTCTTCGTTGCAAAGGACAATAAGTCAAGCGTCTGGGATTCATGTTCGGGTTCATATTCCACATTATTCGTGGTGCCTTCATGCCACCGTTTTCAAGAAACCTTGGGCTGCCCAGCACCGCAAACTCATCACTGCAGCGGACCACGCAGTTTATGTGCATGTGGTAGGAAAATGTAGTAGGAAAATGTGATGTCATGTCAAAGAGAAATTTGCATTGTTCGTTAGTTCGCATGTATTATCAGGGAACGAGGCCTCATACGAAGGGCGAGGTCAAATCAGAGCATATCGGCCTACGTTGGAAAAAGTAGCGTGTGTAAATAGGAACGCATGTATCCATGTGCACTTTTTACGCGCCTCGCATGCAAACATTTAAAGCTGATATAAGTAGTTATATAAGGTAGAGATTTAACACACAACATTCAGATCAGGCATACATTTTCTCATCAGCGATCACTTGTGAACTTCGCTAAGATACTTACTGCACTGAAAAGTCTAAAGTCTACGTTTCCCAACACCCGTTGAAATATTCTGCAAAGCTTGAATCTGTTACCTGAATACAAGTGTCCATATTCAGAAAACATTTCGGACCTTTTTTGGCATTTACGTTATTATAACGTCTTCATGATACCTATCCCTATGGTGTGGGTGTTTAAAGAAGAAACGCTGTGCGACAACATATCTCCTATCGCGGGCCCAAAACATCAGTCTGCAAGATTGGCGATCAGCTCACCATGCAACTGATTTACTAATTTTCCACATTAACCTTGCAGGAAGTATGATTTATTCCTTGTTTATTTTGCTTTCCAGGTATGACACATAAAAGTTCATTACCGACTGTAGGAACACTCAGGACGTTAGCAATACCAATATAAAATTTCGTTGCTGCCACTTCGTTATTTATTTAATTAAGCAGGAGGAACAATGAACACTATGGTCATGGGAAATGAGAGAAGAAACAGTACACTATCTCCGATTTTAGGCGGAGCCATTGCTGACCACCTCAGCACAGGGTTTTGCTGCAGCTTCATTTCCTGGACGTGACGTCGCTGTCTTCTTGAAGAGAAGTCTTTCAATCTGCTGCGTTGGGCCATCGCAAATGATATACAGCAGGTACGCCAACGCAACGCTGAGGCCAAATGTTCCTATGGAATTTCTCAGCTGGAAGAGATGCAAGGGAAAAGCATTAAAGTTTGTCGTAATGCAAGTGGCCGCGTGTTCTCAGCTTGAAAAATCACAAATTGCGCACTGCATTGTATACCGAACATGTAGTACCCCAAGCAAATCACATATTCCAAATGGGTTGTGGTACTTGGCAGAAATTAATAATTTTAAAAGGTGTCTAATTTATTATGATAATGCAAGTATGACTGACTCCATTGTTGTGGCGCAAAATTGCACGTGCTGTAGGCAGAGAAACTTCACTTCCCTATCGCTATATTTACTCGCACGCATACATGTCCCATCTATAAATTGGGCGCACACATGTATTAAGCGACGGGGAGTGGTACATGCCTACACGCAGATGAGTTCGCCAGCGTACTGCAAGCCCACTAAAGAATGTTTCATGACAAGTGCAGGGGACTCACAAAGACGCAATTTTTTTTTTTACAGTAGAGCTGCTTATGCAAGCCGACCATTGTAATCCACCACCAGAAAACTATCACCATGATGAACCGGTCCCCTTCTCTCATCATCATTTTTATCCTTTTCCTCATCTTCTTCTTCACTCCCAGAATATGGGCGCCGAGGCGTGATCAATCAAAGAACAACGCACAAAAAGTGAGAAAGAAAGAAAGAAGGAAAGAAAATAAATAAATAAATAAATAAATAAATAAATAAAAATAAATTCTAGGCAACAAAATTCTTCTCGAAGTGTGGGCAACAATTGAAGGCAAGCATTGTAGTCACAAGGCTATCAATTATTGTAATCCCAAGGTGAACACTGTAATCACAAGGTCTTCACGCTAGCTTAAAAACAGCCTTGCATGGTTTAGCATACCAAAGGGGCGGGAGAAAGAAATGAGAATAAGGGAAAGAGATATGAGGATGTGGAGTAGGCAAAGGAGCACGCGAGAGACTTCAGAGTGGCATAGAAAGAAAGGAAAAGAAAGAGAGAAAAAAAAGAGAAAAACAGAAAAAGAAAAAAAGAAAAAGAGAGAATCGAAGAACGAGAGAGAAATATATATAAACAGAAAGAGATCAAAAGTAAGAGGAAGCGAGATATAAAAAGAGAGAAATAAATAAAAAATAGAGTGAAATAAATAAGATTAACTAGAGAGGGGAGAATAAACAGATGAAGAAAGAAAAAATAAAGAGCAACAAGGAGAGCCATGCTTTTCCGCACTTCTATCAGACTTGGAGTGACTAATCTTAGGCTCACTTATATTTTTTATATGTGCGGTGCATTTCAGTAGGCCGGGCTGTCGCATGCTCGGATTGTATGCTGTCGTTGTCGCTTGGCGTAAGGCAGGCAACACCGCACAAAGCTTAGCCATCTGTAGCGCGCGCTCGCGCCAAGGAGAAGTATTATTCTTCTTCTTCTTGGAGTGCCTTGATAATAATACTAACAAACATAAACACAACATAAACACTAAAAAACGAGAGGAAAACACCAGGGAACCACCACTACGCAGCTCGTATAGCTTTCACGTTGAGTACAACCGCATATATTTTTTTAGTTCCATGCAAAAATGTCCTCTTTTATTAAAATGTATTGAAAAGGAGATTAGTGCCTATTCATCTCTTTCTGTGAAATCGACAAGGTTAATTTGAAGGGAAGCTAGAGCTAAAAGTGCAGGCCCCTTCGAGGTGATGGGAAAGAGTGTGCTAAGAAGTGTAAGAGGAGGGGGGGGGGCATACTATAGTGCCTAGACTATACTTACTAAGCCATACTAGTGTTACAAGGGAGGCATGATGCCTGTGCGCTCCCTGACTCCCCTCTATTATAGAGACGCGCTAGGTTGACCTTCTGGGGAGGTTGCTACAAACTTTGTGTGCGCCTTTCATCTACAAGTTTCGTCACAGCCGCAACGCAAACGGTGGAGGGCGAAGCGCAAGTGGACTGATTCAGAGGCCATCGCAGGGCACCAGTTGAACAAGACAGGCAAAATACGCATTCTATGTTCGCTCAGGAGACTCCTGGAGAAACCAATAAAAGTGAAACGCCACAAAAAATTCAAATTTCAAGCTAAATTGTTTTAAAATGGGACATCATGGAATGTCTTCCCGACTTTATTCTTCTAAAGTTAGTTTGACAATTGATTTAAATCTCCCCAGGTGGTCGAAATTTCCGGAGCCCTCCACTACGGCGTCTCTCATAAGCATATGGTGGTTTTGGGACGTTAAACCCCACATATCAATCAATCAATTGATTTAAATCTCCTATTTCCAAGTGTTTAAAAACAATGTGTCCCGAGTTTTTTTTCTAGTTAATTATGCGCGTATTTTCAGCGTTAACAACGAGTAGAGTGATAATTTTTCTACAATTTATTGATCTCACTGACATGATAGATTGTATAATAGCGTTCTGTGCATCAATTTATTGATACTTGGGCTCAAATCATGATAATATTTATTGGTTAGAGGAACTGTTCACCACCCTTCACTTCTTTTCTGTTTGTGTGAAAAATAAAAATAAAAAGCTTATATCTGAAGCGTATAGCCTTGCAGCGGTTTCTCTGGAAAGTGCGTAAAACAGAACTTTTATGTCTACGTTTGGTCTTGTTCTATCCGTCGGATGAATGCCCCCAACACTGGTCGGTGAAGGCGATGACAATTGTACTGCCAGTGAATGCCGAAAACTGAAATCACGTGCAGTTTCGCATTCTTCATTCAGTTTCATTCAGGAGGCGCGAACGTTGTAGGCCCGTGTGCTCAAATTTGGGTGCTCGTGAAAGAACCCCAGCTGGTTGAAATTTCCGGAGCTCTTCACTACAGCGTCTCTCATAATCGTATGGTGGTTTTGGGTTGTTAAACATGACAAATAATCAATCATTCCGTTTTGTTTATAATAAAACAAATACATTAGTGGTTATTAAGGGCACGCACACACTTTTTTTGTTCTAACGAGCGGTGGCAGAGGCCGTGCTCGCGTTTCTCCGCCGTTTGCAGGAAGGCAAGTAAGCAGGCAGAACACACCACCGGCAGCGCCACCAGGCGCCTCTTTCAACGCGTGAGAAAAAAAAACGCAAAAACATGTTTCTGGCGCAACCTACATTTTGAAGGTATTGGTTAATATGTGAGGTGTTACGTCTTAAAACCGCCATATGTTTATGAGAAACGCCGTAGGAAAGGACACCGGAAATTTTCACCACCTAGGTTTCTTAAACATGCACCCAAATCGGAGCACTCCGGTTTACAGCATTTTCGCATCCATCGACAATGCAGCCGCTGCAGTGAGGATTCAGCCCCACGACCTCTTTCCTGGTCAGAAGCCGGATACCTTAGCCACTAGACCACTGCGGTAGGTCAATATGAAGTTATTCGTGTTTGTTTTAAGCAAAATAAGTCTATTTTTGATGATTTTTTGTCCTACCTGTATATTAACCACATTACTATTGGGTAATGCTAGAGGTCATCTTTTGTCGGCTGTGAACATCAAGTTAAAATTATAATTCTTTTTTATGAGACTAAATTATGCCCGTTGCCACCGATGTGATGAACAATCTTCTCATTTGTGCCACAATCAGAAGAAAGTTTTCTGAGCGGTAGACAGTCCCTTTAAACCTGCGCACAAACCTGCCTTTTTCTGCATGAACCTCCAGCAGCAGAATGACACGAACGATAACAAAGGCTACAACAACACTTGCTATTGTACATGTAAATAGAAATACATACTTGTAAGAACTCGTCCACATTTATCGGTGTTTTCGTATTGGCCATGCGTAGCAGATGAAAGAGAAGGTGTGTGAGATAAATTCCATAAGTGAGCCGTGACAGCGGCAGGAACGCCTTCCATGCCAAGAATTTGTAGAAAAAACCTTCGTAAGAAAGTTAGAATAAAAGAAGTCAATGTAAGCTGGTGGAGATGAGAGCGCTGCAAAATATGCTCCTTCACATACATGTGCTTAAGAAACAGCACGCGGTTATCTATGACCTGTGACATTAGGATTAGCTTCACGGACGTAGCGAAAAATTCGAAGTGTCCCTCGTTAAAGACAAGGCGAAAAATACCTCGAAAATGCAAGAGGTGGACACCAAAGGTTTTAAATGGCCTCACGGCGTATCTTAATTTGTTTACTAAATTGACTACCAAGCTTTGATGAAGGTATGCTTCCACCACTTTTTATAAAGATCACTGCTCTTGAACATGCAAAGAACAAAAGCGCTTGTTGCCGTTTGTGAAGACTCTTCGCGTATTTGCAAATGGAGACTGCTCACAATTTTTTTCTCTTTACAGTCTACAAATTCGATGATGCCAGAAAAAAAGCGCTCAGGAATACATGAACAGCTCACGTACTTCCTCTTCCAGTTGCGCAGGCAATAAATGGCCAAGACAGGCCCAGAGCCCACACAAGTCTGTGGAAACCTCCGTACAGGGCAGTAACAGATTCAGCGGGGAAACGACCATCATTCCACGGAATTGTCACAAACATGACCGAAGAAAGAAGACAGGCGGACAGCAACCAACAAAGAGCTTGTGTTCTCTGTAATTGAAAGAAGGACATCTTCAGCAAAACAAACTATTAGGGCAGTTTGGTCCGGCAGCATTAACAAGAAGCCCTTCCATGATTGAAATTTTCTGGAGGGAAAACATTAGCCTGTTCTGTTACTAGACATACTTTATTGAAGGACGTCGGGCAGTGGCAACATAGCACCAACTAACCAATGAATTTGTGATATTAAGCCCAGGCGAGAAATATGTGGCGTTTCTCCACAACTTGGTATCCCGAAATGAGGGCTGGTTTTTCTTTCTCCTCCTGTGCTTTTTTTTATATGGTAATCCTTTGTTTCTACGATGTAAGAGTGTACTTTTACAACCTAGAGCACAATCGGCGTTTTGCGAAGACCTGAAACAAATCAGGGCCTCTGTCACAAAAATCTTTTACGCTAAAATTCTTCATAAGTTGCCAGGTCTCACCGATGAACGTATATATACACTGCAAAATTAACGGCATTCACTAGTCATTACATTACGCGCAGAAATGAAATAACTGTAACACTTTACTGAAACGCTTGATACAAAAGCATGATAATACAGAACATAGCCCTGCACACGGTCGCGAACGCATTTGGATTATAGCATTTTCGTGCTCTCGTCACTAATCATCATCTAAATACAAAGTTCAAATTACATCTCTCCCCAAATGATTTTATGGCGGAAGCTATGACCCGCAAGGTATATTAAATTAGTTAAACAATATATCAGCGCTCTGCATTTGTTTGCGTGAAAATAAGTAAGAAAACACTTTTGTCGCAGTGCTGCCAGATATCAGGTGGGTACTTATTAACAATATAAACAAACTACGTGACCGAATAGCTCATCAGAGCATTCGAGAGTATTCAAAACTACTCCTGGCTGCTCTCGGGGCAGCCAAAGTACTCTCGCTCTATCCCTAAATCCCAGTGCTCCTACTTTCACTCGACGACTGGAACACTCCGGCTCTGAAGAAAAAACTTTCAGCGTGCTTTGGAGTGTTCCTCTTCTCCCAATGAAATTCGTCATTAGCTCGCTGCCGCGGCAGCATTTACGAAAGGAGTGTGCTGCTCCCCCACGATAAATTAAGAGTTGTGACAGTTCGCGCTCGCCCTGTGTGCACTTGTGCGTTCGTTTCGTGCATCTTCTTTTCGATTTGAGCAGCGCGTTTGAAGTGTAGAGCTGTGACACTTGTTAGTCCGCACTCATAATGTACATACGCACATTTTAAACGTTCTTTTTGCTTGAGCCGCGTGCTGAAATGTTCGAGCTGCTTGCCTTTCTTCGTGTGATATTACAATTTGTTGCTGTAGCATTTACACCTTCGGTCTTGTGACCAAACAATGCAAAATAAATGCTTAACTGCTTCTGTGAAGGTAAGTGTGAAGATACGTGCTTCCATAAAAACAATTTCGTGTTATACTCATTCTAAAACAGAGGGATCAACCACGTTTTTTTTTCAAAGGCACAGACAACCGCACAGAACCCAAATTGTGATAGCCCCAGTAATAGTAAGATATTTTTATTGTATAGGCCAGTATGAAGCCTCTTTTTCGGATTAAATACTAATATATATTTTTGTTTTTGTTTTTTTTTGCTTAAGTTGCAAAAAGTGACTTGTAGTGCACCACGCGCAAAAAAAACGAAGATGCATACTATCCGAGGTTACGCAGTTATCTCTATGTTGATGTTTAAAGTATATCATATCTGTTTTTCAATCTCTTTTTTAATTTAAAATTTGGATTTACGGCTTCGTTTGTGCTGAGCAGAACAGAGGCGCCGCCCTCGCTTGACTTATGACGCGATGCTCATGAGGAAAGTGGTTGGCTGAAGGCCTAGCAGCGCCTGCCGACGAGTTTCAGAAGTACGAAGAGCGCCTGGGTGGCAAGGCCTTAAAGGGACTTTTGACGAGGGTTCCGGACTTGACCTACTTTTTTCTATGGTCATCAATGGCTGAAAATATCAAAATGAAGGTGAGTGACCACAATGGCACTCACTCACTTTAATGTGGAGCGTTGAGCGCAATGCATAGCTTGCGAGAGTGCTTACTGGAATCACTATCACTTCTCAGTTGTTGAAGCTTACTTTTTTTAGCTTCTCAGATGAAAAAATTCGACAAACAAAACATCCATGTGCTTCTGAAATCACTTCCTTCAGATTTAACCACTGCCAGAGAGGGGGGAATGGTTTATTTGCAACCTAAAAAAACTGGGTCGAGAAGAATCGGTTGTCAGTACCTTCAAGTATATATTTATATCTCTTTTTTCTCACCAGTACGCTATGTTAGACCAGTTGGTGCATGTTACTACAAAAAAAGTCACAGTTTTTCCACAAAGGCAAATCAATGAATGCGATAGCAACAAGTTCACGCGAAGAATGGGAGGCAGATCGAAGCGTGCCCCGCATTGCTCATGTACAAATAACGCACTGAACGTACTCACAGGTACAGATGAACGCGAATAAGTGTCTCGGTTGTTACTTCGCTATGTCATAAAGGCACGCTTTTTTTTGAGTAAACAGACGCTGTGCAGCGATTGCAGTGACCTTTGTGCGCCCGGTAAATACAATAGAATTGTTATGGTAAAATTCCGAGCCGTGCGATTCTCCCCACCGCGAGACAAGCGCATGCACGTGTGAGCGTCTACCCCACGCCTCTCCGCGGGGCAAAGTACGCGTAAGAGGTGAACGCATCAGAGCACGTCATCGCGTCGGGTCGATCTAGGGACGCACGCTCATTGCGTCATCTCGCTGGTAATGCTGAAAACATGATGGTTCCCCCGAGATCGTCATCGTGAGTGGTAAGCGGTTGATATAAATATTTTGCCGTTTCAACGTTGAAGGAGGTGCTCCTTCGAGGCTCAGTGGCCAACGCCACGCACTCAGAAACGTTGAGCGGACGTTCGATTCCGCGCGGCGGAGTCTTCTTCTGGAATGTTTTTTTTTCTTGCGGGTTCATATATATAGATACGTATACATATATGATGAATGACGGCAGTCACCAACGTCGACGTCGACGCCAGCGGCAAAATCCAGCCGATGTCCATATAATTGCTATCGCAATAAAACGTGACACAAGTAGAAAATCGAGAAAAACCAAGAACAGACCAAAAGTACGCGAAACCTTGGCGCCAAAAAATGGCGTTTTTTCCGCCTGTTCTTGTTTCTTCTCCATTTTACCCTGCGCCACGTCTTTCAAGCTCTATTTTATATCTTTTTTATCTCCCCCCTGTCAGTCCTTTCTCAAAGCAGGAAAACGATTTAAGTACTTATCTCTTGGTTAAACTGCCCACTTTCTACAGCACATTTATCTTTATACCTTGAGCATGTGACATATGAATACTGCACGAAGTACTGTTTTGCCAGTGCTTTATGGGGCAGTACTTAGACGACTACGACCATTGCCCAGCGCACATAGATGGCTGTAGGCGTGTATGAGGCTGAACATGACTTATGTGTACTACCTGTCGCAGGAGTGTTCCTTTCACTTTGTTGCAGAGAAAACCAGAAACAGTCCCACAGACGTAGGTCGGGATGTGGACAAACGGCTTGAAGTGTACGTATTCCAGCGTGTTCGAAAACCGCCTAAAAGACAAAACAATAAAATTGGCCAAAACAATAGAATCTTAAGGTAACATTTTAGTAGACATTATTAAGCATTGTTAGGCATTGTGACGTATACTCTTCGTATAGGAACAATGTGATCAATACCTCACATCGCTGTTTCCGAAGGTAATTCCATGGAACAGATGCCAAAAGTATGTTTGCGCGGCAGCCATGCTTCCAAATGTTACACACGTCACGAAAACTAAAACAAGGCTTGCTTTTGTGTTCCTGGGAAAAACAGGTTGAAGGAGAAGCGGTGCGAGAAAATCTGCTTAATATCCGTGGTTCCGATCATACTTTCTCTTATATGCACTGCGGGATGCCCTACCGATTTAGAAGCACCACCATTGGGAGGGCGACCACTAGAAATATTTGCATATCAGCAGCAACATACCATAAGTGGGTTAAGCACTGAAAAAAAGAAGAAAAAATATTCAAAGTAATTTCGGGGTTGTACGAAGCTTTATTTCCTATCGAACTTGAAGTAGTGTGTGAAATGAGCCACAAAGAAGCTTCTTTGGCTCCAGAACTTCCAGCTCATCATAACATCGGACACAAAGAATGAGGCTCGAGACATTGGCACATGGTAAAAACCAGAGTAATAGAAATAATCCCCTGATGTAATGTCTGCAGGTATGCGGACGGCACTTCCTTTGCTAGTTTTCGGACTGATGACCGAGAAAGCGCAAACTACGTTAACATGAGAAGAAGTAAGCCTTCTGTGTAATCCCTGTGTTTTGACTTATTATTAATGGGTTGTGTTTGTCCTGGTCAAATTTGCTAGAACTGCATTAAGCAGCAGTTATCTTACTCGTTTCAAACGCCGAAACTTCCCGATCATACGCTGAATGGTTAGCTTACTTTATTTGCTTAGAATTGAGAACGTCATCACTTACCATCTTTTTCTGAGGCAAGAAATCATTAAAGTGGACCAACAATGCCCACCAGTTAGTGTAGCAGCCGCTCAGCTGCTGCAGCAGTAGTTCTGAATCCGCCGGGCCATCGGCAATTAGGGGCAGAAGGAACGCCATGAGCACAACCACCATCACTGGAAACGTAAGTCTGGACGACAGTTCACAGCCAATCTGGTACTCATGCGTATACTCTGAACATTATACCTTCCTTTCTCCATACACAGAATTATCTGCAGATGCCCCAAGCTTTATTTTTTATTGGAATCCAGGTCAGGAGCATATTAAAAGTCTGTATAATATACACGTTGTTGCTGAAGCACGTGCTATCACTGTGGCCAGTAAGAGTAACTTGTTTGTCGGCGTGTATACCTATAAGTTTTGAGAGATTCCCATAATACGAACCTCGTCATTCGCAGTAACGAATAAACGCACGATTAAAAAGAGGTGCATGTTGTGAATGGTATCAAATTAGCGCACTTTTCTAACTGACCAAACAGTGTTCAGTGACTGTCAAATACGTTTGCCATCGGGGATCTGAAGGCTGCAGGCGAACACGTATCTCCACAATACTCAAGAAGTAAGCGATCACATTGAGCATGCGGTATAAAAACATATTGCTACAAATTAAATTGAATATTGTTAGCGCTATGACACATGTTTAGCTTCATTCGGAGCGTTAAAGCGACCTGTGTGTATGCGCTGATTGGCAAAATGAATTCACAAAAAATAAAACGAAATCTCCTTTATCGGCATAAAGCCTAATCGACATCATAGAGTGAAACTCAAGCCAACTGAAATTGTCGGCCAGTACTTTTCGTAAGTTACTATTTCTCAAAATGATTCTTTATGCAAATGCTTCTGCTATATAGCCATACCTAATACTAGCACAATCAACAATCAGTTCCGACAGCTATTGATTGGAGAGCATGCAGAGTGCTTATTAGCGCTGGAATGCGGGTCTATGCGATAAAATGTGATATGCGTTGTGAGGGTACTTTTTTTCTGCTTGTATTGAAAGCAGCTCCTTTGTATGATAAAGAAACTTATCATTTAAGTAAACAATGATTGTGAATTTTCATAGAAAACTATTGATAACAATGAGGTGTTAGTGTTTTTTTTTTTCAATTTTAGTCACATGTTTGGTTGGGGTGGGGCGATGAAAAACAAATGAAACAATACTCTTGCTAGTTCCAGTCAAAACAGCGCATGCTAGCTCTGCATTGTTTTCACAAAAAGCTACTTACCTTATGTATCTACGTGCAACCGCCACCCAGAATGAACGGATGGTTGAATTTGAGCCAGCCATGGAGATAGACAGGGCGAAACCACTGTCGGGCATGAAAGAGTAGGCATTATAAAAATAAAAATCCGCATTGAGAAAATACAAAAGAGACGACGTCACAGTAACACAAGAAATACACCATCGTATGACGACTACGAACTATTTTCGGTGCATTATCGTTGTGAATGACATGCCCAGTTCATTTTCCAAAACAACGAAATTCAGCAAAAAAGACCCGTGCAGGCTCTTTCTTACTTCATTTAGACCTACCCAATCACAGAAATCTTACCAACCTCGGCATTTCACTTCATTGAGGGTGTAATGGCCTATATTTATATCTGTAAAATATCCTGCTTGAATAATGGAGGACTGGCCATGTTATAGGTGCAATCAAAGACTCTTCTAAGTCCAGTATACTTCGGTTTATTTGTCACCTATGTGGCATAGTATGAACAAATTCTTATTTGATGTGTTGTTTGCCGTTTAAAGTGTTCACCCCTAAGAAGTGCAGGAGATTGTAGGGGCTACAGTTTGCATTGATTCTTTGTCATATTCATGGAGTAAAGTCAGAACAAGTACACGCACAAAAAAAAAAGTTTTTAGCCAAGTTGGTACTTGAGTTTACGTTACAGACTTGTCTTTGGCGAAATTCATAAAGTGAAAAGGGGGAAGGGAAGCATTAAAGTGAAGCGCTGAATAGGAGTTGGCAAACATCTTTTTAAAGCTCATTTTAGATAATCTATACGTGTAGCCAGGACTGTCCCTTTCATAAATTCACTGCAGTTCAGTGAAGGGAGCAAAATATTTTTTTTTCTTTCGTTCTTGGTCCCTATTGTAATGTTTCTTTCTGTATTACTGGAGAGATTTTTTCATCTCCTAGAATACTTTCTTTTTTGTGCTTAGGAGACTTGTGTGTTGGCTTCTTTTATGTCAATCTTTCAAGCATCGTTGACCTGCCTTGACTTCAAGCGCTTATCAGATAGGAGCAATATTGGACCATAGGAGTATATATACTCAACGCCATCGTATTTACACTCAAGTTTAACATAGATATATTGGGTTTCGGGTCCCGAAATTCATAATCACAATTGTTTATGAGAGACACCGTAGTGGAAAGCTCCTGGAATTTTTACCACAAGGGGTTCTTTAACGTGCACCAAAATAAAAGCACACCGGCCTACAGCATTTTTGCCTCCACTGAAAAAGCAGCCGCCGCAGCCGGCATTCAATCCCGTGACCTTATCAGCTGAGTACCTAAGCCACTAGACCACCGTTAAGTTCAACCACGTTTCACAAAGTTGGTGAACAATGTCGTCATAATAAAATGGTGGTTCAGGAACGTTTAATAATAACAGTTATTATAAAGTACACTTTTATACCTAAAATGTTATAAATACACCTATAACGTACAAATAGATGCCAACCCAATATTCGGCTGCTTATGTTTTTATAGCCTAACACTTTGCGTGTCAGCGTTCTTCTGAACTTCCTCAACCAATGGCAAAAATATGTACATTCTTCAGAGAATAACGCAAAGCTCTAAAGGAAATCTCAACACTCAGTTCTGATTACAATTTTTCATATTTGAACAGTAGCTTAACATAATTATTGTGATTTTATTTAAACAATGTAAAATCTCTAAGCAATAAAATCAACAGGCAAACAATTAGTGAAACGTAGCTGCCACAATCGCCCGTGCGACTCGTTTCACTTGTGCTCTGCAAGGTTACACAGCGCTACTCGTGTCAATGACATACCTCATGAAGAAAAATGTCGACACACTTAATACACCATTGGTAATAAACTGGAACCAAGGCTTCGATGACAGTCGCATCAACTCAAACGGGCTGTCTGTGAAAACGTGGATGGAATAAAATGTGTTTTGTTTTTCAAACAATAAATAATGAAGTAAATAAAGAATTATCAATTGTGCATAATATATTTGTGAACCATTTCTCGCATATCTATTCTGGTTTCTAGAAAAACATAATATTCCCAACCTTCAAATGTGCGCTATGGAGCGAAATTCTCGAATAAATACGTGTACGTTAACAAGATACCTATACTAAAGGCACGAACCACTCTTCAACTTTTCCTACCTAAACAATGTCGAAGGAAAGAAGGCTAGACATAAGGGCTTGTTTTGTTTGCTAGAAACAATATTAATGAGAACTGACAGACAGGCCAAGTAAAGTATAGGGGATATAATTATAAGTAATTGTCCCGTGAATGTGAAGAAAGAGGAGTGGAAGAACAGATTACTTGTCGTGGGCAGGGACCACACCTGTGACCTTTGAATAACACGTCCGATACTCTACATGCTCTACCAATTGAGTTACCACGGTGGCTATACCCCATCCTCCTGGCGTGACTGAAGCTCCTACGTTTAAATGCACATATATACCCTATAAAGTGGATAGGGAAGGATACCTGCCGTGGTAGCTAAATTTATGGAACTTCGGGCGCGCTATTCGAAGGTCGTCAGTTCGGTCCCTGCGCATGGCAAGTTATTTTTCCATCAAGTTTTCTTTCTTCACATTTACATTGTAGTTGCTTCTAATAATATCCCCTGCAGTTTTCTTGGCATATGTGTCTGTCAGTTCTTTTCAATTTGTTTCAAACAATGTAGACTGTCATAAAAGTAATCAATATTTTTCTTTCAGCTGTATACTGATAAACGAATTGTAAGATCGTTTATGTCACTTCGAGAATTCGCAACACGTCACTTGTTGATTTCTCGCCAAATGCCCTGCACGCAGGTTGGGCGGTTCCCCAGTTCTACATCAATTCATGCGTATTTTCGTTACAACAAACTGTATTCTCGAGCGCAAGATCATCGAAGCAAACGTCCGCAAGAAATACTTCAAGACACTTCTAACGCTGATCTAAAATGCACATGCTTAAATATAAAATACATGTTGAAGGAACTTCATTTGTTTTGCAAAGCGAAATCCAAAACGGTACTTGTTCGAGAAATGGCGGAGCGACTAAGTGTGTGCTTGCTTTTGAAACTATAGTACTTACGCAAAAATTCTGCCTGAAGGGCGATGTACTCATGATCGAGCAAAACCCAGTAGGCACAAAATACTTTCAGGCCACTCAGAAATAGAAGGGATTGGTTGAGCCCGGTGTTTTCGGTCTTCAGAAGCGACTTCGTGTTTGATACTGCCGAAAATATTTTCGCCATCTTCAGTAATGGTCCTGTGAAATAGCACAAAATTGAGTTATACATCTTTGCACGAAAAAATTGTTCGACAAATTAAATTTATTGAGGAAACAGGACATGAAAGTATGTTAGCATTTATCACGAAAGACCACAAATATTTTGAACAGAAGACGTTGTTTTGCAAGCCAGGATTGACAGTATTGAAAATTTGGTTAGAGCAGTAGCACCTTGTGTTCTCATATGCAGACCAAGGCCACTTTTGATGACCTCAATGTTTAGTTAGAAAGGTTAGTTCTGTGAATGTGGTGACTGTGAAGAACTTTGAGGAGCTGTAACTACTGAGTGCAATATATCAGCCTGCTATGCTTTCGGTGTCGCCTGAAACACTGTAGAGCTCAAATCTTCGTTTACGAGGCCGGATCATTGTAAAATTTGAGCTTGTTGTTACGCCTGGCTTGAGTTACGAGATAAGAACCTACCTGACAAACAGTTGTTATAGATACTCCACTTTTCGATTGCGGTGGCTACAAGCACCACACAGACAAGCGTAGAAAGAACTGCTCTGCGCAAAGAGGAAAAAAAATGCCACAAGTGAGCCCACACTACTTCAGCAAATGTCTGTTTTTCTCGTCTGAGAGTTTTCTCACATTGAGAACACCTGTTCCCAAGTCCACACTTTCGCTTCACCGGAACACCTGCATCCATTCACAGAGGCCTGAATTCCGTATTGCTGTAAAACTAAGAATTTTCGAACGTGTTAAGCTCTTAATCACGATAATATGGTACGTCTAAGAGATGAAATTATCTGTGCAATATCAGAGCAAGCAGCATCACAACAAAAAAAGTATCCTTTGTGTGAAGTACCATAAAAAAATAACCACGAATACGCACTACAGCGATCATTTATTAAATGAAAGTCGCCACGCTAAATTTATTTGTTGCTTGTTACGTTTACTGAAGGCCTAATAATCGATGCGTATTTAATCCGCTCTCGTTCAAGACCACACTTCATAAGGGAAGTAATACTAGAGCAATGAGTGACTCTCAGCTGAAATTAAATTGACTGGCTCTGTGTGGTAATAGGCATATCAGTTATCAATGCAGTCACAAGTTTTTTTTTTTTTGCTTTATGTTGAAATGAGCTTTCTGGCAAACAAAACTAAAAGATCTTGGATATAAGCCGCTGCTAATTTTCGCTACAATCACATGGGTATAACTGAATAAACGTCAGCTCCGCTAACAGCCACCTAGAGAAACTTTCCATCGATTCACCATGCAATCGCGTTTGTTCATTTACTTCATATAAATCACCTCTCGCTTGTATTTGTGTCACTGGTTCTAGGCCTAAAACGACCATAGCATTATGAGAGACGCCGTAGTGGAGAGCTACAAAAATTTCGTCCACTTAGAGTTCTTTAACGTGCACCCAAATCTAAGCACACGGGCCTACAGCATTTTCGCCTCCACCGAAAATGCAGTTGCTGCAGCCGGGATTTGATACCGCGATCTGCGGGTCAGCAGCCTAGTGCCTTAGCAACTAAACCAGCTCAGTGGGGCAGAAAACATTAGCTAATATTCCGATATGGTAACTCGGGAAAGCATATTTCAAGTAGGGGTAACGAATGCTTAATTATTAATATGCGTAGACTTTACATTAACAGTGAAAACTAACTGACGATTACAAAGAAAGTTTCATGAATGGGAGGCGCACTGCATTTCTGGGGGCGGAGCTTAAGTTTACTCTTAGATCGTATACTAACTATAGCTAATTTAGGCTATGAAAACTATCAGATTTATCATAGCGCTAAGATGGATCAGTGGCTGGGGTGCTGGGCTGGTGGCCGAAAAGTTGTAGGTTTGATCCCGGCCACAGTGGACGTATTTCGGGCGAGTCGGATTGGTATAGATGCCCGTGTACTGTGTGATATTAGTGCACGTCAAAGAACACGAAATGGTCCAGATTTTTGGAGCCCTCCAATACGGCATTTCTCATAATCATATCGTCGTTTTGAGACCTAAAGGAACACTAGAGGCAACTATTAGGCCGACGTTGATTGTTGAAATAGCTGCCCAGAAGCCTAAGTAGTGTTAGTTTTGGGCCAACGAAGTGCTCATTTTGAAATAAAGTTACATTTTAGTAGTATGCACATGGTTACCGCACTTCAAGTTACCCGCTTCAAGCGGAACGTGTCCCGTGACTCCCGTCACTGTTGCCGCGCACAACGTTACCCGGTTTACTGCGCGGCCGCCGGTACTAGTAGCAGCAGAACGAAAGGAGCGGGAGGTATAGCAGCAACAACGCCCGTTTAACAACTTCATGTCATGGCCTGCGAGATGGCAGGCCTAATTGGTTGAAATAAGCCCTGTAGATGGCGCAAACTGCCCCGTTTAACCAGGCGAAAATTGAACTTTTGAACCACTCACGATTATTCCCTATAGTAACGCCCAATGGTTCTTTTTTCCATGAATCAAACAGACACGAACAATTAGCATTTTTTTCTTTCTCTTCATGCTAGGAAGATTCCTTATTTATTTCAGCTAGTTTGATTACTAGTGATTATTTGTAGACGATATGTCTGACGTAATCGGGATCATTTTGCAAACTTTCTATCGTAGCGCATGTGTTCTCGTGCATTTACCTTAATTTCTCAGTAAGTAGGGCACTGCTGTGCATAATCTTGTTGTTTTGGACGTTGTCATACTTTGAGTTTTCACTATGACATAAATTGTTATTTGACTTTATGGTCCTTTTAATACCTCCGAAGTTATTATTGTAGCAAAAATGATTTCATATATGGTTGTAGGGCAGCACGCTAACGGCGTAACAGTTATTCAGCTTGTTTTCGGCCATGCTCGTGTGTGCGTTCGTGCGTGCGTGTGTGCGAGGGGGGGGTTGTATGTTGCTGATAAAAAGCTGAATATTCTAGCGTATGCCAACCATCACATTTCATTAAAAAGGGTATAGTGTCCTGTAGCAGCAGATTTATTCCATCATCATTCAGGAGCGAAATAACACTTCTGTGCTTCCATATTGGCTATCATCATCTTTAATGTACGTTAATGATATCATAACATTAGTATATGTGCGGATGATGTGAACTTACTTTTTACAGTTAAATCTATAATGCAAGCCGTGGCTGTGGTAAGTGGGTACGTTGGTAACTTAATCTCGTGGGTACGACGCAAAAATACTTTCTTAAATTTCTGTGAAAGAAGTTACATTACTATTAAGCCAATTGATTCTGCTGATTTAGATAGAATAATCATCAACATATTGCTTTTTTGAAAATAGAGAAATAAAAACCCTACTTCTATATTCATTTAGGCAGCAAAATTATAGTCAAAACGATGATCCGTAGTTGATTTATAATGTCATCAAGAAAACCATACCACGCGATACAAGTACATTCAGGTCATCGACTGTGCAGGCCGACGGCGTACAGATACCAATACGGACGCTCGGTCTTCCACTCTTTGTGTCAGCCGTGGCCATGAGGGGGTTGAAGCGACCCTGAAAAAAAATTAATTTGGGTTTTTCAGAACACTACATTGCTTGGGAGGAGAACAGTTCAGCAAAGAAAACAGCAGAAGCAAACCGTAGGTGTAACGTCATTTGGACAGTAACTGACAAGAGTGTTCAATGTATTCCGAGTTCTGAATGACTAAAATTGTCACCTGCTAGTCTCCAAACAATTCAGGTTCATTTATGCCCTTTTTCGGAATCATCAGCTCCGTTAAAAAAGAAATTAAATTTCAGCTGCCTTTGAAAACCCAACAATTTGGACGATGCTGGGAATCACAGCTTATTTTTATGTAGTGTTGTCAATTGCTAAAATTTAGACTTTAGGCATTAAAAGTTGCATTTCAGGCACCAAAAATCGGCTGGCAATACAAAGTTCTAGCCAAGCAGCAACGGAAATATAAATAAATTTTTACAAAATTCATACTAATACAATAACAATTTTTACGGAATGGGAACAAATGAAAACACGTGTACGACCTATATCTGCAACAGAAAAACAGGAAATATCGTTGTTCATGATGCCACAACAATGAACATAGCAATACAAACGATGAACATAGCAATGCAAGTGTCCTTTTTCTCGCTCCCTATTTTTCCTTATAATCTGTAGCAGGGAGAGTCAAGTGTTCATGGTCGAAACAACACACCCCTTGGTGTCATTCTTTTGGGCATATTTATAGGGAATGTCAGAGCAGGAGCCCATTGCCGGACCACTAAACACCAGAATGAAGGCATGCTTCATAATGACTGGGTCGCATCGGATGGTTTCTCCCCTGTCAGGGAACAGTTTTCAATGTATATTGCATGCAAAACACAAGCCGCGTGCACACCACGTTTTTCTTCCTGCCTGTGTTCTCTGCGACTTCACACTCGTCTGCCGCTCGCACCATTTCAGCGGTGCAGTGCATCCGGTATGTCACGTTCTGTTTCACTGCTGCGAGCAATGGTTTTTGGAAGCTTGCTTAACTAGAGTACTAGGTCAAACCCGCGTAGCGTTTTGCAAAGTCAGTATTGCTGCGTGGCAAAAACAACGATTTGAAACTGCCTTTCAAAGTGTAGCTTCAGAGTAAAAAGTGCTTATATAGGCGCCTATTTTGAAAACAGACATTTACAGACAGTAATTGGCATTTAGGTACAAACGACAAACAAAGGAAAGCATAAGCCCTTTCAAAACGTTGTAAAGGCCTTTCACAGACTCCACTTCATGCTCTTATATCAAGCAGAAACAATAGCACTGCAAGGAACGAAATAGACATTCGCCTGTAGTACTGTCTGTAGTAATTACTCACCTGCATGTCTCCTTCCTGGTTAAAACGACGAACAAGATCTTCTACTACATGACGAGGTGGCTGCAGAAAAAGGGAGCAATACTGGCCTTTTATGTAGACGTCACCATTGGCGTTGCGGCTCACAGTGTGTAGACATTGTTCGTAACCTCCGAGGCTCACTACACCACCTTCCAATATGTTGCTAGGCATGAAGCCATTGGCGAGGAGCACTAAAAAAGCACGAGTGAAACTATAGGAGAGGTAACAAAAGTTTTACACAACCATCTACCTCTAGGAAAACTAAGATAAGCACAGAAAACTATTATATTTGTGTTAGCTAAGTAGCGCGTTACGCATTTTGCGGAAAATAGTTTATTCCAAAAAAATACGGCAGATCCCACGTGCTTTAGCAATATATGTTATGCGAAGCATGCAGATGGAAGGTGACTGTGTTGTAAATGTTTTATTTAGTAACACTTTAAGAAGTGATGATAAAGATATTTACAACTGCACGCAAAGACATATATGTATACGTTAAACAGCCGCATATGTTTTATGTGACCAGTTGTTTACAGCTGTGCAACGATGCCAACAGTAACATGAGTAGTAACAACGCCAGACGCGCTAAGCTGATTTAAAGTGAAATATTTACGCAGGCACACGGGGACACTGAATAGACACACAAACGAGTGGAATTTTCGTACCCGCATGTGTGTCTATTCAGTGTCCCCGTGTGCCTGCGAAAATATTTTAAAATGCAAAGAATACATGGTAACATTACGGCTAACGACTTTTTATCCTCTATTGGCATCTGATTAATACAGATGCCTGTTTGTCCTATACGTAGAAGCAACTGCTGCTGCAATTAAAATTATGTATCCCTTCACTACAGGCAGTCTGTAAGTACGCTCATGTATTTTCATGTAGTATGCGTGGGAGATAAGAGCGCGTGCGATGTGGTGACGCGCGCTGCTTGCGCCATCTTTCTGGTACTGCTGAAAAGACAATTCCCTTGAGATTCCCGTCAGCAGGGGTAAGTTGTAGACATAAATAAGTTGCCGTTTGAATGCACGCGCGTGTTCCTCGGTGGCGCAGTGGTTGACGCCTCGCACTCACGATGCAAAGGACCGAATTTCGGTTCTTCGCGCTGGAGTCGTTTTCTGTTTTTTTTCTTTCATTTTTATATATATAAATACCTATACAGATACGGTGAGTGACGGCGACGATGACGCCGACGCCGGCGGTAAAATACAACCAAGAGTGTTCATATAATTGCTATCGCAAGAAAACAGCAGCTTTGCTAATGCTTTCGTGAAGCCTCAAGTTCACCGAGCAGTTTAGTATGATGTTAGTTCAGATGGTGGCCAAAATTTGGGGGTAGCCCCGCCGCGGTGGTCTAGCAATTCAGGTACTCGGCTGCTGACCCACAGGTCGCGTGATCGAATCCCGGCTGCGGCGGCTGCATTTCCGATGGAGGCGGAAATGTTATAGCCCCGTGTGCTCAGATTTGGGTGCATGTTAAAGATCCCCAGGTGGTCGAAATTTCCGGAGCCCTCCACTATGGCGTCTCTCATAACCATGTGGGGGTTTTGGGACGTTAAACCCCACATATCAATCAACATTTGGGGGTAAATTGTCGGCTCTAGACTAATTGCCGGCCAATCGTTGAGCAAAGCAAAGTGTTGGAGCGTGTCAGTGAAAAAAGCGTACGTGACATACAAGAAGCTTTCGTGATCTTGAGGCTTGGCCCAGATAAGTGCCTTAGCGAGCCATCTATTTACACAAAAAAGCTTGCATTTTTAAAGTAGATAAAAGGCCATGAATATTTTGTGTAATACTCTCACGATTTATTGTTCGCATGTGTGTTGTCAGAAGCAAAAGCTTGATGTTTTGAAAACATTGAGTTGCCAGTCCGCACCCGTCCTGTCAAGTACTTCTACTTGTGTTGCGTCACCGGCGCAGTTTTATTTCCCTTTCAGTGGCGTACCAACTAGCCCCCTAACGCACATTACTCAGTTCGTGCTAATTGGCGCCCCCACAAGTGATATATCATGCCCCAGCCATTCGAACCCTTCCTTCTTTCTCGGGTCCGTTTAAAACTGCGAGTTCATGGAATTTCGTCTTTCATTTACAAACTAGACACTGCAAAAAAAAAGCAAAACTGCGATTCGGCCTACTTGAAACAATCCATCCTGAAATATTTGCGCAGGCACATGGGGACACTGAATGGACACAAAAATGAGTGCAATTTTTGCACCCGTTTACAGGTCTATTCAGTGTCCCCGTGTACCTGTGAAAATATTTCAAAACGCAAAGAAAGAATACATGGTGACATCTCGGTTAACGACTTTTTATACTCCATTGGCCTCTGATTAGTACAGAGGCCTGTTTGTCCTATACGTAGAATCAGCTGCTGCTGCAATTAAAATTATGTATCCCTCCACTACAGGCAGTCTGTAAATACGTTCAAGTAGTTTATGACGCTCATGTCTGTCTGCGATCCTCCAAGTAGCAAGGATCCGACCCATCCAACCATCACGTAATTCTGATAAAACCTAACTTGAGGTAAGTATACAGTAGTAGCATCGCACAAATGCTCTTAGCATGTATTGTGACATAGTGAATAATGAGCACATAATCTCGACTTCTAGTGGGCAGACGCAATACCTAAAGAACCACGACACGGTTTTCGGATACCACGAGGTTATAAATGCAGAATCATGCAAATAGTTAGAACAAATACAGGAGTTATAACTAGTAGAAATGATCAAAGCTTAGAACCAAAAAACGTTGAGTTAGCTTAAATAAACTCATTCCTAAATAATTAAAATGTACACAAAAGCAGACAGCACAAACACTAGCCATCAACAAATTAGCCCAAGATATGCAAAAGCATGGGCGTGCTGTGATGCTTTATTCTAGTCTCCTGCCTGCCTGAAAGCTTGTGACGAACTGATAAATGTGTACTTCATGTTTGCGTACAAATATACGATGTCTATCTCCTCCCCATATTTCTCTCTCCTCTTTGCTTTTTTTATGCAAAGTAACCAACCCGTCGGGGCACGGCTAACCACCTAAACCTTTTTCTTATTACTCCTCCCTCACTATTTGCGTATAGTTCACGAATGCAATATATAATGACGTCAAGTGTTCCAATATTATTAAATAAATACCCTTGACTATTAGGGTAATACTGATTTCATGCTGATGCGGACAAGTAAAGAAAGGTAAAAACGACAGTAGAGCTGCTACAACAAACGTCGCGTGCACAGCAGTCAGAAAAATCTGCTTGCTGTTTTCCTTTTATTGAAAGACCTACACAATTTTATGATTTAGAGTCCACTTCACCCGGATCAACTGACTCAATACGCTGTTTATATGTGGGATGCTACTCACTCTTGAGGACCCATGGCTGTTGCCGTTTCAATGAAGAGAACATCTTGAACAAGGCGGACGTACATGACACGCTGACGTTGCCATCACCAACAAATTCAGAGGCTATTGGCCACACCTTTTTTAGCAACGCATCAGACACATCGGCTATGTCCCTTTGAATGTTTAGCCACTGTTGTTCAGCCACGTCCGTGGAACAGCATTGCATAGCAGTCAAGACAGTCCAGATAAGCAAGTGCTTTGACGCTGCCATCCTAACTTAGTGTCCCGCAGCTGCCTAAGAGCTCGAAATTCAGAGGCGGAAAACCTTCCCTCTTAACCGGAAAGACTGATGTGTTTATTCTTTCAAATGTCTACCGCTCGCTTTCTTCCAACAGTTCAAACATGAAACTCAAACATTTGCATGGTCTAACTACATTTTTTATCTATAGTTTATTTTGCCATCCTTATAGCCTGGTGGTGTTCTTCCAGGAGAGCAAGCCATACTCGTGCCCTCTTGAGGGCGTTAGTCGATTTGCTCACAGCTTACATAGGTCGGGACCACACATACTCATGGATCCACGAGACGAATATAGATGCAAATGTACTTTGTCTTTGTTGGCGTACAATTGTACATTGCGGAATGCTTGATATACAAAAATTGAGGAATGTGAAACACCTTATATGTTTAGCTGAAGACAATTATGGCTTATATTACTATTTAGGTCTTTTTTCCAATATTTGCGTCATTGCGGGTTTTTGCAATTGTGTTTTAGTTAAATAAAGGTTTTCAAAATAGTCTGGAAGCACAATCGCTGAACGCGATGGCCGCCACAAATGGTTAACAAATTTACGATTTAGTTTGAAACTTCGAACAGACGCAAAGAAAATAACGTTTTTTCTCTTATTAGCCTCTTACAAAGAACCCTTACGCCCTATTGCGTTGCCGGTGTTCATTGCTCTAAAACAAATTTTAAATGCGAAGTGAACAGAGCTCATTCAATCAGTTATTTTGTTTTTGGGGCGAGGGGGGGGGGGGGGCACCGGCTATTGCGTATTAGGAGGAAACAAGCGCAGTAGAAGGCAAGAAGTGGTAGTTGATAGACTGACTATTTTGCGTAATAATAAAAATAACAACATGTGTCATCCGCTTATTCATAGGTTATGTCACATAAAAGAAACTGACTTGACTTATATAGAAAAATAAAAGCAATAAGAAGTATCAAGCCTAGATGTGGCATTCGTTCTGTCTTTTATTGTAATTGCTTATAATCTGAATATTCACAGATAAACCCCCGTCCCGAAATGTACACAATGGCTCTTGTAAAACAGACACAGGCACAATGGCACCAAGAAGAACACAACGTATGTATCATTGCCGAAAAAAAAAGTGATCGTGACGTCATTTTACACGTTCGTTTTCCTCTAAGCGCACTTATCAACACCAGCATAAAAAAGAACACAAAAAAGAAGCTGTTCCTCACGTAGGAAAATTTGTTTACTTGGAAACTCAGTAAATTTCTTTACATAGCATATCCAACTGTGATGAGAATTCTTGGTACAGGCTACGGCTGTTGAACATGTGTTTATACAGTAGTGTACATGGGGAAGCATTTTCGTCATGGCTGCAACTTTCTTAGCTGTGCTTTTGTGTGCGGCTAGCAGGAGGAAGAGAAAGAGAATAATCTTTTCTGAGAGGAAAGATTTTTTCGCAAGGAGGTTTTTTTTAAGATGCAGACATCAACTACCCTTCTCTGCACAGGAGCTTTTATTTGCTCTCGTCACCCACTTAGGATCAGGAAAAAGTGAGCTAGCCTTATGTAAGAGCGCGATGGAGGCGAAATGCTAGATACCCGTGTTGTAATACGATGTCAGAGCACGTTAAAGAGCACCTGAAGGTAAAAATTTCTGGAGCCCACCACTACAGTGTCTCTCATTATCATATTGTGAATTTGAGACTTAAAACCCCTGTTATTCTTAATATTACGTAAGGATAATGCTACAGAAAGTTGATATTGCCCCTCGCTGAAACGCTGACTCGACAATTTTTTTCGACGACTTCTCATCGCGATTTGTTTTGCTTGTTTTTTTTTTCTTTTGTATTCATCAACAGGTGCGTCGAGTACGCACAAACATAATCGATAAAGGTAGCAGAAACCAAGTGACTACTGCCCGAGAGAGTGTGATATGTAGCTCCGTTTCATTGCCCGTAAGGTGTAATTGTATTGCTGAAATGGTTTAATGCCGATAGAGTGTTGAGTGATGGTGTCGTGAAAAGAGTGGCCGAGCTTCGATAAATGTGATAATGAGGGCACTCGCACACTGTAGCGGTTACTTTTCCCGCCATGTATTTCAGAGCAGGCATTTTGATTGATTTGTGGGGTTTAACGTCCCAAAACCACCATTTGATTATGAGAGACGCCGTAGTGGAGGGCTCCGGAAATTTTGACCACCTGGGGTTCTTTAACGTGCACCGAAATCTGAGTACACGGGCCTACAACATTTCCGCCTCCATCGGAAATGCAGCCGCCGCAGCCGGGAATCGAACCCGCGACCTGCGGGTCAGCAGCCGAGTACCTTAGCCACTAGACCACCGCGGCGGGGCAGAGCAGGCATTTTGCTTAGAGTTTTCTTGTATGCCTTTATTTGGAAGCGTTCACTCCACTGCAAGTTCAAATATGCGTAGACGACAGATCTGTAGCCGTCGCCATATCACGCATCTTTTTTTTGTAGTCCATGCTTGCGCTGAAAGACTGTTCAGAGCTTGGACTTCTCAGGGTCGGTCTGGAAGGCCTTGTTATCGATGCCAGCTTCATTCACGGCCATCTTGGCATCTTGCTCTATGGTTAGCTTAATGTCGAAGCCCTTCTCGAGAGGATCCTTCTTTTTCTCCCACTCAACAATGGGCTTTTTGGCTGGTAGAGCTTCTTCAGGCTTCTTGACACTGTTCATAATAGCATCCTTCCGTTTTCCCTCGAATATCAGCCTTTCCAAGTGCGTCACAGGTGCTTCCGTGGAGAGATACAGGAGGTATGCCAGGAACAAGCTCATGCCGAACAGGCCGATGGCAGTGTTGAGCTGTAATAAGAAAACTGAGGTTACTTACATGTGTGGTAATTTATTTCTGCAGTAACTAACCACTCTTACCCTCACTGCTTGCAGCATGTGTTTTCGTGTCTGAATACTACTTCATATTCGCCACAGACAAAAAAAAGGCTGGTTACAAATGTTTTGCGGTGTTTTTTCACGTAACCACTCCGTGATTAGGCACACGGAGCGGTAAACGTTCCGTTGAGCTACATGAAGTGGGTGTCATGAAAATTGGTTGTCTGTCCCTTTAAAGGAGCATTGACATCAAATTTCAAGATCGAGATGTACCCATCATTCGATCGCTTGGTAAGCATAGGTCTTATTGGCCAAATTTGAATGGCATCGGTCACGTGGAAGTTATTTTAATTCGATGTCAAACAGCGTAGAAACGCCACGGAGAAAAAACGAAAAATAGACTGCCTTGGGACATCGACACTAGTGCTACGTGTTCTGTATGATACATTCCACAAATATCATCCTGAGTGACGATATGCTAGTAACAATGACGTCGACGATGTGAGTGTGTTGGGGCCGACTCCCGGCCATGCTCCCACTGATGGAGCTCCTTGCTGGGTTGAAGCGTGCGTGCGATTCATCATGTCACATCGACTGATTTTACATGTGCTCAACAGCGTGAGTACGATCATTCAGAGTGACAATGCTTGTGAAAATGTCGGAGAACCGCTGCGCAGTGAGAACCTGCACGTCGGGGCGCGGAAAAAGCAGAAATTGCGTGGCGTTTCATGCATTTCCAAGACACGAACCTCAACGCAGCCAGTGGGTTAACTTTGTACGCGTCGATGAACAGAGAGACTGGACGCCTGTGAAGAACAGCCGCATTCACTCGCTTCACTTTAGCCGAGCTGCTACAGGGTAAATCCTGTGTTGGCGATCCAGTTGGGTTTTACTCGCAGTACCAGGCCCCTTCTCGAGGCCGGGGCTAAAGGGAGAAGGGAAGTACGAGTGGACGCTACTTAACCTAGCCGGCGGAAAACGCATGGAGGGGCTTTAGTCTACATCTTTAGAGACATAGCTGTAGTGACTGCACGTGTGCTCCTAGCAGACGAAATGCCAGTGTATGTGACGTCACCATTTTTTGTAGAAGCAGCATCAGCTGTGCAGCGGCCTCGACGTGGCAGTGAGGTAGCGCTGCCAGCACTACAATTTGGCGGGCTTTCGATCTATTTTGAACCACGTTCGATAGCGGATATATTAATCAATATTACAGATATTAATTCGTACCTCAGATGCGTTCTAGATCGTGAATCGCTGCTAGGGGGTCGATAGCTAATAATTCATGCAAAAATCTTGACATGAGTAAACTTGATCTCAGTGCTCCTTTAAGCTCTAACTTGCCTCCAGAGCAACTTTTATCATATTTTTTGTCCGCGTGACTTGACTCAATTATAAAACAGCGGACAAGTGAGAAGGAACTGAAGGGAGAAGGATAATATGACGCTCGTTAATGGAGTCCTGGCTGGAGTTTTTTAGTCTTCAAACTTCACTGCGCGCGAGTGCTGAAGGAAGAACATAAACAAGTTTCATAGGCAATGCCTAGTCTTACCTTTCAAGCCATTTTCTTTTTTATTATTATTCGCAGTAGCACTGTATCCGCATAATGTAACGAATGAAACCTCATTTTCCTTATGCGGATATTATACCTTACCTTGCCTCTATTTTGTGCATAATCACATTGTCGTATGTCGCGGTCATTGTTAGTTTGCTTCTCGAAACTATTGTTAATAGCTTAAAGAAAAGTGTGAGTTGACACTCTTTCCTTTTGTCTATTCTTCCCCTGTGGCTTGCGTCGTCTGTTGTTCTTGTAATATGCACGAACTAGCCCAACAACAAGTTTACTAAAGTATTGTTAATTCCACAGGTTATAACTACAGTACTGAAAGACAGCAATTGCAGTCACGCAGCACAATTCAGTGCCTACGCAACTTGTGAATAAGTAACCAAATCACAAAGAAGGTTTTGTAGGAAAGCTATTCATTGCGTTTGCGTGAAGTAGCCATGTGCACTGATTTCATAGCCTATATTTCATTTACATCGATTGGAAAAATATGCTTCAATGAACTTTGCTGAGCTGATTCAACTTTTCTCTTAATAAATGATAATTCAATGATTCATTCATGCGCCTATACCAGCACGTCACAGCGCCCTTTTTAGTGCGTGGAAGTTGACGCCACAGTTTTTAATAACATCACGTGGCCATCATGGCTTGTTTGTTTCTATTGTGTCGGGAGAAAAACTTACAGAACAATTCATGTCGCAACGACAAGTAGGGTGTGTTTATTTTATATTCCGCTTGCAAATTGTAATAAATATTAAGGCTGTTAACCTGCATAACACCCGCCGCGATGTTGTAATGATTTTAGTGCTTGACTGCTGATCCGAGATTGCAGGATCGAATGTCAGCTGCGACGGCTGCATTCCTGTGGAGTCAAAATGCTGCCCGGGTACTTAAATTTAGGCGTACCCTGAAGAGCCTCAACTGGCCGTCATTTCCCAAGCCCTCGACTAAGGCTTCTCTCGTAATTATGTCGTAATTTTGGAACGTAAAACAGCAACAACAATTAGCATTATCTCTTTCATAGTTTCAAACTACACCGAACAGTGTATTCACATAATTGAATGTACAGCCACCCAATTTTTTAGTTTTCAAGGGCGAGCGTCGACCGCCGAGTCAATAAGTGCCGTATAACCAAGAATGGCGGCGAAATCAACGAGAATGTGTGCACAGGCACGATGAACGGTACTGTGCAGCTGCTGTCTTCTGCCTCGTTGTTCTGAGAGACGGACGCCGGGACGCCAGCAACCGGCACTTGTCGACTCGGCAGTTGTCGCTTTTCGCGTTCTGGTTTTAAAAAATTGGCGGCCGTACATGCACTTTCGAAGTGATTGTTCGCGTGCAACAGTGAGCTTGGTTTGGCGAAATTCGGCGATATACCCTCTACTGCATGTTAACAAAATCATAATTGTATTGGCAAGGCACACACTTATATTAATTTCACAACGGTGTCTCACCTGGAAAAACTCGTTGAGGCTGATGTGTGTTTTTAGTATGCCCATGCGAAGGTATAGAAGAGGCACATGAACGAGATAGATACAATATACGAGCCTAGATATTGGCAAGAACGCCTTCCAGGAGAAGAAGGCGTTTAGTAAACCTGCGTGAAAATAAAAAAAGAACAGAAGAAACGAAATCATCAGCCGTGCTTGACGAGGGTGAAAGCTTGTTGGTGATTACGAAAGTTAAGTCACAAGAAAGAGCTTTATATATAGTTGATGACAGTTGTATACCACATTTTTCTGTGCTGTTCTGTTGGGTTAGTTAAACGAGCGAAAGAAGGCCTACAAGTCAAGCAGAGAGCAGGCTATGAATAAGCTGCCACAAAACTAGAGGTAAATATGCTGTAGTGCTCTAATGCTACAATAAAATATGCAGCCTCTACAATTATGCTATCTGCCCTAAATCTTACACATTTCCTCATCTAAACTATGTACCATGCATTTTTTAGCTTTCCTGAGAAAGTCTAGAAAGATTGCGTTAACTAATAGGTGTATTTCGGTGTTCTTGGAGAAACTGCAAACTATAGCATGTTGCATGCAAACCTTCAAGGTAAGGACAGTGTCTTTAACAGGTTGAAACATAGGTGGTCGAGGACAAACCACAAGCTTTCAATTTTGCGTGATTGCTGCTTTCGAATGAGCGCATAGGGTATACTATTCGATAAGACAATCGCAGAACCAAGTTTACTATACGTGATTATGAAAGCTCGATTTTGAAGCTTATTTAGTTGACATGGGGCTAACTTTTATGGTTGAATTTTTCAGCAATAAATCGATTATACGGACACTCTCGACATTATTTAGCCATTGCCATCGTTGTCATATTCAGTATAAAGTACAAATTTATGGCGTGTTCTACCCGCGTTTAAAAGCACGTGAACTGGAGTGACGGACGCAGCTGAAGCAGAGAGAAAACGAGCCGACCGTTTCCGTCGCACAGAGGGCACATGCGATAACATCATCCTGTGTGTGAATCTTGCTCAATTGCTCTGCAAACCGAAAAGAAACGCCTGGCTTCTTTCTTCCCGCGGTTGGAAAAAACATGGACACCACGGGGGGGGGGGGCGCAGCGAATATTCCTTTAGTGCTAAAGCATGCCCATGTTCGCAGTGGTTTGCATCACATTGAAAGTTATCACTGAGAATTGCAGTTCATCTATTCCGCCAGACATTAGCCTTTACTTCGTTACGTTGGTTAAACCCATGCATAAAATCTAGAGTTGCGCGAGATCGGATCCATAAAATTTAGCTGCTAGTCCAGCTTCGTATACCATTAAAACTTGTTGCTGTCATATTCAGTGCTTGGTCCTTGCATCTAAAATGCTATTTTTGACGTTATGATTATAAAGGCATACTAATTAACAAGATGAAGCTATAGTGGACAATAACTTGCATTTTTGGCAACTGAGAATATCAGAAAAAAAAAACATGTAAGGTACTATGACGTTAATGTTCTTGACGTCAGTGTAGCATCAAAGTATTTATCAATATTCACGCCATATAGATAAGACAACCACATGACTAGTATCTGGCGACACGTGCACGTAGCCCCATCTTTCTTGGGCAACAGCGGTGGCTTGCCATGACTGAATAGAAAATAGGCAAAAAATCGTATCAGACGAAAATATCTAGTTACCAAAAACGACTACTCGTTATTTGCAGCACAGGCCCAGTAGAACATTCTGGTAAAATTAGTGTCGCTCTACAATGAGCGTGGCTTCCCAGGGGATTTTACAATGTGGCACCACGTGTTTCCAATGAGCCGTGTTCAAGTGTTCTGGGAAGCCACACGATTTGTAGTGCGATACTGAAATTTTACCAGAATGTTCCAGTTGATATCTGCTTCATGTCACCGGAAGTAGCTTTTGATAACTCGTTTCTTTCGCCAGACATACTTTTTTCGCGTATTTCCCAATAATTAACGGCACGACACTGGAGCTGCTGCCGAGTGGTCGCACGACGTACAGATGTCACCAAATTTAGCGAATGTCTGTGTCCCTTACCCCTGCTCAGAGTAGCCAGCATGTCTGAGAATGGGCTAACCTCTTTATCCTTCCATTTTTGTTTTTCTCTTCCTACTCCTTCTCGGTGAGCAATTAACAAACCACACTTTAAAAGTGCCAAAGACTCGCCCAGCCACATTACAAAACGTTTTCGAAAAATATTGGCCAATTGCAGAAATTTTTAACAATGCGACAAAATAACCGGCACTGTAAAAGAAAAACTCCAAAAACACAATATCACGGTAATCTTTTTTTCTTACTATTATCGTAAAGCAACAGTTGTCGTCTCACTAATTGCATAGCCTCTGTAAATAGACGCTATATACCGATCTACACTCGTTCAGCACAACTCTGTATCACACCTACGACGTCCAGGTCCATTAGCGCATATATTAGTAAACGTACATACTAGTCTGTGAGACTTCGAGGTCAATAAGTATCGTACGACTCTGCACAACTGTCAACCGCACAGATACAAGCTTCAACTGCCTCTTTTCATCACTCGTACTGAGTTAATATTCACGAAATCGTGGGCTGAACAACGGGTTCACTATCTCTAGAGACGCTGTGGAGGAATTCCTGGTCGACAGGCGCATATGTATCACATCGATGACGCTGCTTCCTTCCTCACCTCCTCGACCTGTGGCGCAGGCGTACGCGGGCCACACGAGCCCCACTGACCACACCAGACGGTGGAATCCACCGTAAATGGCCGTCGTAATATCGTCTGGCGGATTGCCTCGATTCCATGGCAGCGTGATGAAGAGCACGAAGCCGGTTAGTGCCAGTGATATGATCCATTGGGCCAGCTGCATGACCTGCGCAGGTTTTTGAATGTTGCAGCATGATGACGTAAGGTTTTTCAAATGCCCAGGTCATGCGAAATACTAGTGGTCAGCAAGTCGATAGCCCAAGCTTGGGCAACTGCAAGTTCCTATCAACAGTGAGTGCCCGAGGACACGCGGATCAATTACCACGCTGGACATCGGGTAGAAGCACTGTTGCAAGAGTAAAGCACGCCTGCAGTAATATGCTAGTCCATTTTTTCAAAAGTTGAGAGTTTCTCAATTCATTATGCTGCGAGGCTACGCCCAAATAATATGCTAAGCTAACAACTTCTCAGGGTACCGATCTTAGGTTTTTATGGAGCTTCTTTCGCAGGCAAAAAAGAGAGATAATAAAATGCGTGAAATGTCGCCTACGGAAATAATAACTCGCCGAGGGCAAATCAGTGAAAGCAAACTCAGATGAACGACCTTTTTCGGTTTTCACTTAAAATTTTAGCCTCCTGCTGATGGTCATGGTAAAAGATATCATGGAGTGTTTAGTAAAGAGCGCATCCTTTTTTTTTTTCAAACATTCTGTCAAAGATATCGTTTTCTTTCATTTCCAGCCTTACACTAACAACTGTCGGCTACACGTTTACTCTATTAAAAAAACGCCAATTCGTTGGTAATGAAGTATAGTGTTGACAGAAACAGTATAAGCGTTTTGTTATAAAAGCAGATCAAAACTAAGTGATTCAAATGTATTTCAAAAATATATTAACGTTGCAAACATTCTATGATCACATTTATGTGCCTTTACTGTACTTATGCTGTGAATGGCTCTTCATTGCATGATCATCTTACTCTCCTCTTGCCACGACAACTTTTTTTGCTTATCTGCACAGCATTTACACCAGAGCCTCACAAATGTTTCTTGCATAGTGTCATAAAACCAAAATGCTAAAAAATGGTTTTGTTCTTAACGCCTGCTTCGTGCGTTCTTTGCTTTTGTGTCCCGTTTTCGGGCTCTTTAAAGCCAATTATACCCCAAGCAACAAGCCTTGCTAACCAGTTTTAAAACTTTCGATTACTTACCACGCCAATTTTGGCTTTCCCGTACTGCATCGTCAAATATCCGGCGACGACGCCAAGAATGTACGTCGCGACATGCGTGAAAGGTCGGAAGTAGACCAGTTCGATAGTTTCCACAACACGCCTGTAAAACAAAGATGAAGAACAATGAACATTATCACGTTATGCCCTCTTGTCCTCTACCATTGTGCTTCTTAAGTCTTAATCAGAATTAGCAAAATAACATGTATGTTTCTGTAACTATTTAGCCAGTAAAAGATTCATTAAGGCTCCAGTTTCGTTAGGAGCCTAGAACTTTTATAGGCATTCATATCTTTTCACAGTTTGCTTTATACAACCATATTCGCAGCTAGACATTATAAAAAATGCTCTGCATGTACTATCGCACAGGAAATAAATACAAACAGTGCGCCATCTACGCGCTCTGCAGTTCCGCATTTCTTGTCAAGCCGTTGGACCTGGGTGGTTATAAAAAAGTCACAGCTTTGCCGCAAAGGCGAAGCAATGAACGCGATAGCAACAAATTGGAAGGTCACGTACACAATGGCAACCATATCCAAACGTTCCCCACGTTTTTAACGCACAAAGGACGCACGAAACGTACTCACAGGTACAAATAAACGCGAATAAGCGTCTCAGTTGTTACTTCGCTGTGTTTGAAAAGCACGCCCTTTTCGCAAACGGAGGCTGTGCAACAATCGCAGGGACCTTTGTGCACCCGGTAACTACAACAGAATTGTTCCGGCGAAGCCTCCCAGACAAGCCAAGACGTACGATTCTCCGCACTGTAAGATAAGGGCGCGTGATCGAGTGAACAGCCTACTATTCTCTACGTGGGCCAAAATACGCGTGAGAGATCAGAGCCGCCGCGCGCTCACTGCGCCATCTTGCTGGTAATGCTGAAAACACGATAGTTTCTCCATGGCCTCCAAAAGGCCTGCCAACAGCGGTAAGTGGTAGATATAAATAGCTTGCCGTTTGAAAGTTAAAGGAGGTCCCTTTCGGTAGTTGAGTGGTTAACGCCACACATTCACGACGTGAAGGTCCCACATTCAATTCCGTGCGCCAGAGTCTTTTTACTGGATTTTTTTCTTTCTTGCATTTTCATAGATATAGATACGTATACATATACGGTGCATGACACCGACGCCAACACCGGCGGCGAAATCTACCAGACAGTGTCCATGTAATTGCTATGGCAATAAATGCCACCAGAACCATCCATGGTACACTCAAGGGCCAACCTAGCATCTTTTTATTGTCAACAAGGTGATATGGTTATTAAAGCAGCGTGGCGCACTGTTCGCGTTTCTTTCTGTCACCCCAGTACGACCTCTGACTTCTGTGCGCTCTTTGCACCAATGCAGGTAACAGGCCCCAAAGACGTGCTCAAATTTCTCCTATTCCACATTATTTCACCTTTTATTGCTTTGAAGACCCGTTTAAGTTTACTCCTCTCGCAGTACCATTGATGTGCGGAAGACACCTGACTGCACCGGGAATAGAAAAAAAAAACTTCAACCATCATCGCACGCCCTAGAACAGCTGTATCTTCTTCCATAGCATGACAGGTATGCCGACCACGTAGACATTTGCCCTTATAACTCCACAACTCCCCGTTGTTTGTCTGGAGTAGTGGTTGTCTGAATGACACAACCCGTCACTCCACTTGTATTCTGGCAGAAAATGGGGGCACCCTCTGCAAGTGCCCCCTTTGTGATTTACATTCCAAAGATCGTATATGGAATACTCGACAGTTAAACATAGCGCACTGTTCTCATAATCAACTCCGAAATATGCAGCCCTTTCATAAGAAAAAACGAAGTACAAGAGAAAGATGCTTTTGGTGTAAAAAGTCGCTGCATAAGTCATGCTCCTTAAATGCTACGAGGGAATCCTTAAGTACCGCAAATGTTTATTATGTTGGTATTTGAAGCTCGGAAAATCCCCCGTTTCGTGACTATTCATGTCGAATGTTTTACGGAAGACATTGACAATGAAGTATGAATTCTATTACTCGAGTATAATTGAGTCATTAAAAAAATCCCTGGGGAATATAAAGACGCCTTACAAGATTCTAGGATATATCTTAAGAGGCTACCAGTGAGCTCGAGAAAAGCTGTGTTCTTACGTTTTATCAAAAGATTGTTAGCATTTTCCTTTGATGAATTAAGCTGTAATCATATATGAGCTAGAAGTATGGTAGAGCCTATACCAGCGAGTCACACTTCCAAACTGGCTTTGCCAACTATTGGCTGCTCAGTCTCATGCTCGTTTTTTTTTCTTCATTTTGAAACAAGATTTTGATAATAATATAATTGACCATAAAGCATGTATTTATGAAAAAACTAAATGTCCACGATGGCATTAGGATGAGGATGTTAACTTTTGATTTTGCTATTTTTTCTTGATTTGCGCCATTCAACTTGACAATGAACTTTGAAGGGATGGTGCCAAGAAATTCGGAAGCAACAGAATCGAAAGTTGGGCTAGTTGGATATGCATAGTATAACTGTCGGTTCAAGCGTACGAATAAACAGAAAGGAAGAGAGGACAAGCGCTTGTTCTCTCTTTCTTTCTGTTTATTCGTGCGCTTGAACTGACAGAAATTTGGAAGCGATAACAATAAAAAAATCCATAAACAGGGGTTGTGCACAGCAGAGGTTTCGACAAGCGTACTTGTCTTCCTCTACGCTAGGACCGAACTGATTTATTTAGCGCTAGCGTGTCTACGCTTCGTACGATCTCCTCAATCCTAACAAATGAGAGGGAGATAGAAACATTGCCTATAGTGTTGCGGGAAAGCGGGGGGGAGGGAGGGGCACTGTGACCATAGAGTTAAAATTAACTCTATGGCTGTGATGAATTGTGTGAGTGAAGAAAACAAGAAGTGCGAAGGAGATGAGGATGCACACTTTTCGCTGAATCTCGGTTCACAATGGTAGTTTGAAATTCCTAGAGGGAGGGCTTAACTCGCATTGTTCTTTTTGTGTGTATGTATCGTACCGAATGGATTCAAGAACCCATTTATAAATATTTATACCTGCTGGCTGGAGTGTACTGAGCTTGTTAATAAGATATGACTCGATATATTTTCTGTATCTTGTGGACCGGAAGTCTGACTGAAGTATGTAGAGATTGAGATCATTGAAGTTATGTCCTGCTACATTAAAATGCTGTGCCATTGTTTTGGTAATTTCTTTGCAGTGTTCGTACGATGGCTATTCAATGTAACATTATAGCATGTAAGTTTAAACTAGATTTTGCGAGCTAATTAAAGCCCAAATGAAAAGTTCGTATCTACATGAGCCAAATACGAACTATACTCCTCAATATCCACTATATTGAGCTAGGTGAATTTTAGATACAATATAAATTTGAAGCATTTATGGAAGAAGAACATACTGGCGATAATCGTTTGAGGGAGCCCGACTAGTTGAAAAAAAGCACGTTTTCCCAGTTTCCATTAAAATGCATTTGGCTCTTTTAGAAACTGAATGTCACATATGAACGTGTTGAGAAGTTTGAGAATGATGCAGGGAATGCGTACCTACCACCCAAGTACGCTAGGCGGGCGACGTCTTTAAACCTAATTCAAGTGCTCACGTGACAAGAGTTTATGCACTGCCTCTGAGATACGCGTCCCACAGTGGATCTCTGGAGGCAGCATTTGTTGCGGTGAAGCTCATTCCGTCTTCTCATTATTGTCAAGAGATTTGAAAGCTTTGTGACGTTAAAGTAACGTCGCGGAAGAAGGACCGCAAAAAAAGGTGTGCGCATTTCGCAGAGCTCCAGCCAATCAGTGAAGGCCGAAGTGGACAGTCCACAAGGTCACATCGAGAATCACACCCCTGAACTCCATCTAGAAGAGACATCTCTGCAGCGCCGGCTATGGATAAGAGTGGCTTTCGCGAAGTCATGTTCCTTTAGCATACGAATGAGCGACAACGCTCTGTCACGTGGATGCCCTGCACCGCATCCTCGGGGACTGTTCTCGTTACGTTGTAGCGACCCGATCACTCGCAAGCACCTGAGATCATTTTGCTCATACACTGATCTAAGTAGAAATCATTCTGGAATGTTGTCCTGATTAGTCGCCAAGGATAGAGGCGACCATTTTGTTGTTAAAATGTTCAAAAAGAACGGACTTGCATAAAAGTAGACCGATTGTGATGCATACTGAACAAACCTGATAGGCTATGACGTTGTATAGGTGCTCCTCTTTTGTGGCTTTATTTACATACCTCTATCTTCAGAACTCCTCCACAGATTTCCCCCAGGGTTGCGTAGCATACTGGTTATGCTGAACTGGTTTAAGTTCCTACTTTTTCCATATGTCCTATTTTTCAGCCTTTCCTGCAATGCATGTTCTTGTACACATAACAGTAGTCAGTTTTTGTGCTTACTTGTAATTGGCTTTAATCTGCGTACATTTCGACAAAAAGAGTATACCAAATTCATTGAATCTTATTCAGAAATATTTGCCATGCTTTCTGCATACTTACACCATGTCGTTGGAGGAAGCCGTGGCGGAGTAAGCCAGGTGCCAAAAGTGAGTTTGCAGAGATACCAAAATACAAAATGCCAGAGAAATAGCACATGACAGCAAAAGTGCGAACTTGGGGTGCCTATAACAAAAAAACATTCATGCTTTATGTTCTCACGATCATAACGTCATTTCGGATATTTTGCATGCTGTTTATTTTTTCACTTTATGAAGCCCTGTTAGGAAAATGAGATACGTCAAATTGGTCTAGTCATAATAAATTATAGTATTGCTGTTTTTCATTAAAAAACCAAGTCACTAGTTGCAAAAAGTAACTCAGAAGCCCCCTCTATAGCACTAGATGTGACTACACAGTTTTTTGTTACAGATATAGCATTTAATTCTAAATGTATATACTGTTTGTTATTTAGAGCTAACTGTCAATTTAAATGCCTAAATCACTACCTAAATAAAATGATGCACTCAGAAAAGAAATACCACAGTTTGTTTGACGAAAGGAAGGAACAACCTGAAAGACACCTGAGCTTCGCGTTCAGGAATAGAACTCAATAGCGCAATCTGGCCGCATCATCGCCGTCTGTATTGCTAGCCTGCATGCTTCGGTTCTCGGGGCCTGCCTCAACTGTGCCACAAAAAAAACAAAAAAAACAATTGCAGCGCGTAACATTGGCCGTTTCAAAGTATCCTAGAATGCGCACTGCAAGTAGTACAGTTGCAAAATGCCCACAACACCTTAACTATTACGCTTGTCAATCAGTGAAGGGTCAACTACGAATCCCTGAAGCAACACGCGAACATACGCAGCTGGTGACTTTGTTGACGAATAACCTCCTTGCCTTCTTCATTTATCTTTTCTCTTCTCTCTCTCTCTCTTGCGGATCTATGGCCACTAAATATGTCTGAGCGCTTTGTAATAGGTGTGTTTTTAATACACTTACTCATTGCGCTGTAGACATTTGTGGACGCCTGGCGCGATTCGACGCTTCTGCCACGCAATCTTACATGCCTTAGAGAGACTCCTCCCGCCACATGACATTCATGCAGTATTTCTTTTTCCGAAGCAGTTTCGAGCAGTGCTCTAACTCGGTGAGAACATCAGCCTGCCATGCTTAAGGCCGCAGTCCTATTCTTACTCTAACCACATATATTTATTATTTATTTAGTGCAGATCGTTCTCAATGTTTTAGTTTACGGACAACGCTGACTTTTCACTCACAACCAATTTGCTTTTCTGCCTTCAACACCACATGAGGTAAGACAGAAATGCTGATTTTATATGCAATTCTACCGAGATTCATTCGAACGATCTCAGTCAACACGCATATAACTTTAGCTTGTTGTCGATCTATTTGTTCGTTATGTGAAAACCAATACGGTAGACGTGGGCACTGTCATAAGTACAAGTACAGGCAGTGGCTTGCATTTCCTTTGCAGCGAAAACTATTATGGGATAACAACAACAGCCAATTTTTGCGAAGTAGTATAGTCCGCCACCATCGACGGTGTTCATAACATTTATCGCGCACAGTGAAAGACAAAAAAAAAAAGGCAAGGATTAAAGCGAAATTTGAACCCAGACACTTTTCGTGGAAGTCGAGTATTCTACAGTAAAACCACGCGTGTGCTTGAAACTCCTTGGGAAAAAGACGTTATACACGGGGCATATCGGCTCATGTCATATATTACACGTTAACATATGTGAAACCAATTGGTAGATGATTAAAACAATGCCAGGCGTACCACAATGCGAATGGCATAACGAGTGGATGGTTGAAAGCTTTCCAGTCATTGGAAAGGGCTAAGCCATAAATGTTCATCCTAATCAACCACATCATCAGCAATGTGCCTATAATACCTCACAAACGCGTAGCGGGCACCTCGCTTCTCCGCCTGCAGAATGGTGAATAAGGACATAGCGAGTACTTCTCTACTTCGCGAAATTACAATTCTTTATGGCGTGGTGCATGGGCTTGTGTGTTTTTTTCACCTTTTTTTCACTGTCCTCTTTTCTCTCCTTTTTTTTCCCTCCTGCCTTATTTTCCTCTATGTCTCCCCTTCCCGAAGGAGCAGGCAGGCGTTGTGCCCCTATAGGTGGCACTTGTCAGCATGTTTGTTCCCTCCCTTAGTCCTCTGTGTCTCCGTGTTTTCTATGTACACAAAGCACATATTATTATTATTATTATTGTTATTATTATTATTATTATTATTATTATTATTATTATTATTATTATTATTATTATTAATGTTATTATTGTTAATATTATTATTATATGGTACTTGCAGAAGTACCATATAAAAAGGCTACCACTCTACCTTTCACAGTGGCTGGGATGCGTTTTCAGCGCAGGCCTGGCGTTTATATATATATATATATATATATATATATATATATATATATATATATATATATATATATATATATATATATATATATATATATATATATATATATTGATTTGCTACGTACCGCGCGTGGTATTTCCTGTGCTGCTTCGAACACTCCATAATAAACAAACTTGTTGGTGTGTCTTTTTTTTTCGTGCAGGGTATTATCACATTGAAACAATACCTGAAATTTCTCCTGAGATTTTCATTGTATATATTGCAAAAGAAGCATATTTGGCAGTACAGGAACGATTGAGCACAAGCCTTAAATTTGGAAATTATTGTAAAAGCTCACCGCATAAAAGCACTTACCGGCACAATGTAATATCTTTATAAAAATACAAAAATTATATTCACTAAGTTCCCATGACGCAGTGTGACTTCATTGTCTATTCATACTCCGTATGAATTGAAGCACTGTGGTGAGTGCACCTCTTTGTTAATTAATTTCTATTCTAAGGAATAGAAAGGCATAGGAACCTGTAATTTAAGTGTGCTTACCAGACGAAGAGGATGGTGAGCGGAAATGCTATGACGAGGAATATTTGAACGTCCGTGCTGACGTACCACAGGTGAATCATGCACTGCAAGATGACAGAGTACAGGAAAATGAAATATCACTGCTACTGCGGAAATTCATTTGCAATACCAGAAAGTAAATTATGATGGCACGTGAGTAGTTCATGGATGTTGTGCGCGCACACAATGAATTCTGCACGGACAGTTCTCAGGCAGTGAATATATATTATAATATTTCGAGGTGTTTATTTCTTCCAGGTGTTAAGGGCAACTTCATCTGGTTTTCAGTACATTAAATCGTAGCAAGAATCATGCTTATAGGGGCAAAGCTTCTTAAAGTGTCAGTCATTTCCTCTTCCGTCTGTATGTAGTACGTATGTAGTCACCTCTAGCGTAAGAATTGCTAACTAGTTGGCGTTTTTTGTATATTTCCTTGAAAATAATGTCACTAGATGGCACTAGAAGTTTTTGAATAGTTGACGTTTAAAGAGCATAGATGGTGCTGTTATAATAAGAAATTCACAGCGTATCCACGGAGTGAATGATGATGAGTGGGGTGAAGCGTCCGTCCATCCATCCGTCTGTCTGTCTGTCTGTCTGTCTGTCTGTCTGTCTGTCTGTCTGTCTGTCTGTCTGTCTGTCTGTCTGTCTGTCTGTCTGTCTGTCTGTCTGATCATCCATCCCTCCGTCCATTCGATCCTATGACACCAGAGCACCCATCGGATGAAGGTGTGGACATAATGATGGGTGGAAGGACAGACAGACAGACAGACAGACAGACAGACAGACAGACAGACAGACAGACAGACAGACAGACAGACAGACAGACAGACAGACAGACAGACAGACAGACAGACAGACAGACAGACAGACAGACAGGTGGACGCATGGACAGATGAACGCTTCGCTTCCTGATCAGCATTCACGCCGTGGATATGCTGTGAATTTTTTTTTTTTATGATGGGGCCCACTCACTACCAATAGGAAGTTGAGTTCATGGGCTTACAGCGGATGTGCTGAGCCACGTCCCCATCTCTGTAGAGTGAGCGAGCAGCCTGTTTTCGTGGATTTTTGTAGGGTGCCTCAATAGTTTTCCTCCCCCACTACTCCTTGCAGGATGGTGATATTCACTGTTGGTTATTATAAACTGAGGGGCGCGAAAATATGGTACACAAGGAAAACAAGGACACAGACGATGCAGTAGTAGCAATTGAATGTTTTTTTATTCGGGAAAGACATATTTAAAGCACCATGCAATCGTATCAATACCAAACGAGTAAAAAAGACAAGAAAATTTGTGCTCAGTATGCCAACGTCAAGTGACGTTTAGAAAGGTTATGTTCCCTTTCTGGAACTCGATAGCCAAAACCAACTGTGATAGCGAAAATCAAAACGAACTCGCCCAACTTCTTATCTTACTGTATTCATTGTTCCTATGTCTGCCATTGAACTGCCCCCCCCCCCCCCCTTCACTCCTCACGTACGAGAAAGGTCTTTTGCAGTCACGCGCCAGCATGGGTGCCATCAAGAAATGGGCACCGAAATGGCGCAGATGTGGGAGGTGGAGCATCGAGGCATCCTAGGGTGATGTATGAATGTATGCTAAGAGCGCCATTTTATAAAGGGGCAGTGACAAGTCAGCCACCAGACTCGACGAATATAGAAAAAAGGTTTTTTTTCCTTCTTCCTAAGTTCGCCTAATCGTCTATGTCGAATAAATTTTTCTTATTAGAGAAAAAAAACTGAAATTCTTATCGAAGTTCTCTTCCCTTTACGACAGAATGTCCTTTATTTTTTTCTCCACAACTTACTTTTGTCCTTTCTCTCTAGTTTTCTGCCACCAGTACTCTAATAATCTCATCACACACTTATTTCCATTGCTGACGTGTTCAGTTTTTGAGTGTCAACCCGACCCCCCCCCCCCTCCCACACACACACACAAACGAACATATATGCAGCCGTCAAAGCGTGTGTGTGTGCACGCACACACAGATGCTTTCAAGGCTGCATGCTGCAGGACCCAAAGCGAATCTTTCTTTGTTTTTTTTGTATTTTTTCAACGCTGGCCTAACTTCACTATAGTGAAAACTTGTCATTGGCATTGCACATCTGTCTGAGCAGCACGCGGAAACAGTACCGCTCACGTTTTACTGAGTCTTGTCCGTGTCTCTCAATCTATGTTAATATCCTGAACTATATTCCACGTTGCGCTAAATTGTGTTGACCATCGTAATAGGGGACAATTGAGTGGATGCGAAATTCTGTGCAAGATTTCGGCAACACGTGGTCTTAGTGGTTTATTAGTCTTGTTCGGAATTCACATGACCCTGAAGCCAACGCCTTACATGTTCTCCGAAGCAAAAAAAGAAGAAGAAAGTGACCCAAATTTGCTAACTTGCTTTGAATTTTATGATTTTGGCATGCAGGCCCGATATTTTGACCTGCAGGTTAGTCTTTATCTGTAATTATATGAGATGACAAAGGAAATATTTTCAGTTTACAAATTGTCCTAAGGTATGATTCGCGCTTACGCGTAAAGGTTCGTTTCACTGTGCGGGACGCAGCGCGGAGTACTCTGGCAGCACGATGCTGTTAGACAGCCTTCTGTGCTGTTCAACCGTATATATGCCGTTGTGGAAATATATAGCTTCAAGACTGACGTCAGGACATCAACCCCTCATTCCGTTAGATTGTACCACAATTTTTTTTGTGTAAACACAGTATGTATAGTTCGTTGACATTGGGTTAAGTGGTTTTTGTTTTATTCGGAGACAATAACTTTGATGTGCTTGTAGCTAGAGAAGACATCTCACCATTTTGTCAACGGGGTAAAAGTTGTTGAAACTGAGTAGAACAGCCCACCAACGTTGAATGCATCCGTCCACCTGCTGCTTCAAAAGTTCTTGGTCGGCAGGGCCATCGGCAAAGTGCGGTAGAAGGAAGCACGCCATCACCACAGTTGCAATGGGAATCATTAGCCTGGAGAAAAGCATTAGGCAGACACATAACGAGATTTCTTTAGTTGCAAACTGAATTACGAATATAAAAGTTTACAGGTACGGGTTTTCGCATCAGTCAAAGTTGCATTTCCCGCACGACTGCTAGTACATAGTGAGCCTGAAATGGACCTTAGTCGTAGTTTTTCAATGCCACCCTGGGCTCACTTCAGGCTGCAGTGGCAGCCACTGGTGTGTGAATCACTTTGGCCATCGCTTACCTAAGCTTGCGCTCGTGATTTTGTTTACAACACGTGCTAATAACGACTAGTTCGACAGTGCACGTGGTAGTTCCGGCAGGGCTTTACAGATTTGGTGACTGTAACAATAAGCCATGGTAGCTCCTTCGCGTGGTTAGCTTTGCAAAAAATTAATGTAGTGCGATCTTCTTTCACTTGTAATGATCATTCGCTAAACATAACAAGACAAACGGCTTGTGCACATGAGAATACAAGAGTTGTGGAATTTCGGGCCAAGGTGATATCGCCAGCGCTACTGTTGTAATGGTGCACAAGAGCTCCATCGCACGGGCGAAAATTATTACGTGAGCTGCGCAATCTTACCGAATAGTTTGTTCACCCGAAATTTCATCACACGTATGCTGAGTGGCACGTGCTTTTTTTTTTTGCATTTATCCCCTTTTTCCTTGTCCTGTGGGTGTCAGCTCACAAAACGCTCTGTGTCTTCCTCAAGCAGTCAGGCCTTGCCCCTCGATTGTTATGCGTGACATATAGCAGCTGCAATTAGCAGGATCGGACGACAAACTCTCCTGAAGAAGTCACTGCACAAATCAAGCTTGAATAGTTATGTCGCTTCTCTGTAAACATGAAAATAACTCTCAGAATATTCTATTTCTCCCACTCCCCTTTTTTTACACCACCGCTCCCACCATTGCCCCTACTGACCTCCGTTCACATGTTAGCCGTTTGTGCTGCACGATTACATCGCGATAGGCAGTAAATGTCAATTTTCAATTTATTCCTTTACTTGTTTATTTATTTCTTTTCTAAATTAATAGCATAGTAATGCTATCGCCCTTCTTCATTTGTTTTTACTTCTTGCAGTGCTCATTGCTGTTGATAACATGCTTAATTGATCAACATAACCCATTAAGATATGATACCCAGAGGGTGCTATATGCTGTGGAGGTCTGTCTACACATTTGCAGCATTCTAATGATAGCCTGGTTTGATTATTGCGTATCGCGATCTGAGACAGTTATTAAGGCAAATACATAATCCTACGGAAGACGTAGATGAATCGCGCAAGAGATAAAATGCAAATTAATGATGAGCAGACCAACCAAGTTGCATTTAAATTGCTATGCTACTCTGACACTGGGAAAATCAGGGCAGCAAAAGAATAAGAGAAGAGAGCCCAAGTCATACACGTGCACGCGTAAAAGCGATCATTTTGCATTCACCGATGGTCACAGAGCTCTCCTGTGCGATAACTACTTCAGAATTCGTAGTGGGGTCGTGGCTAGGGCTAGAAGGAATGTCATAATTATTGCTATTAACTTGAGAAGTTGGGGTGGCGCCGCCTGGCGGGATGCCTGGATAACGTCACGGCAAGGATGCTTCGACGCCTGCCGTGGCGCGCCTACGAAACATGCGCTTGCCCTGTACGCTGTTCCGCTGTTTGCGACAGCTTTTCGCTTGACTCAAGCTTCAGATGAATTATGCAAGCAGCATCAATAATGATCCTGGTAAAACGATCAAAAACTTTGTTCAGTTAATTCACCAATACGTACCGTGCTCCAACTTATCGACTTAAATCAAGTTTGTTTTGTCGCGCTGATGAATTCGAGGATGCGTTCAAATTTTCGCCACAGCAGCCACTCTGCGACGTGAGTAAAGAGCAAGAGCGTGTTTGTGCTTGGATACAAAGTTATTATAAAGCATTTTCCCGTATTTAAGTGGTGGGTTTTGCCGATAAGATAGCATATATACGTTAGCAAGCAGTTCCTTTCAGAACTATGATGTTTTTTTTTTACATCCGAATGTTTTATTCGTATCAGACACGTGCATCAATCAAGCCACGTATCTTTTTTTTTTTTTTGCCTGTGTACCCAGCTCTACGCACTGCAGTTGCAGAAAAAAAACAAAAAGAACATGCAGTATCGTGGCTCGCGAAGCATCTCCAAATCGGTTGGCCGAGAATACTAATGTAACTGTTGTATTTGTTTTTTTTATGTACTTGCTCACTCGTCATGTAGTTTCACGCTTCCTTCGAAGTAGTTTCGGGGCTTCATCTCACTAGAAAAGAGCTGAGGTTCATTGCGAAAACTTCATTCAGCATCGTAGCAACAGTGCTGTTACATTCGTATAAGTACCGGTTAGGTAGCCCACCCGTAAATTGATTTTCTTTGCATTTGATTACAGCCGAGCTTCATTAACTTTTATGTGGATATGACGTACGAGACCAGGCACTGACTCATCGAGGCAAAGATTGTTTAATTATTACGTGGGCCAAGTCACCGAGAGCCCTATCGAAACCATTCGCAACGCTCCTTTCGACTTTCAATCGTGTGCTTTGCAAACAATTGTTGTAAATAGTGCTCCTACGTGAATTACCTATTACTGCTTGTGGCGCGGCATTTACTCGGACCAGCACTTCATGAAAATGGTAATATACGGGCACATAATAGTGGTTTAGAAGAAATACTTGCGGAATTCAAGTACACCAACATCTCAGCATTTTCCTGAGTGTTTTGTGTGGGATTGTATAATTTTTTTCAACATTCCGGATTTATCAAAAAATTTTTATGGTAGATTCATCTAACGTATTTTTTACCAAGATGCGCTACTTTTTCAAATCACCCGAATAATCTCCATAAAAACCGCGATCCACTAAGTGAATTTGAAAATATTCGAATTTTATTTGTATTTCTCTAACCCCGAAGTGTACACCAGCCCCGCCGCGGTGGTCTAGTGGCTAAGATACTCGGCAGCTGACCCGCAGGTTGCGGGATCGAATCCCGGCTGTGGCGGCTGCATTTCCGATGGAGACGAGAATGCTGTATACGCCCGTGTGCTCAGATTTCGGTGCACGTTGAAGAACCCCAGGTGGTCAAAATTTCCGGAGCACTCTGCTACAACGCCTCTCACAATCATATGGTGGTTATGAGACTTTAAACCCCACGTATCAATCATCTATCAACAATGAGCAGTTATCACAAACCTAATACGTGAGAGCGGGCACATGGCAGGCGCAGAAAAAGTCGATATTCAGCCGCGGGGCAAGCGATTCCTTGCCGTGACGTCACTTCCTCTCGACCGCCACCGCCAATGTTCGTTCTTGGGGCTAATAGCATGAACTGTAAACTAAGACAACATCACACATGAACACGAGCGCTTTTTAATCTTATTGTTCTCCGGCTTTTGCAGAGCGAAAGCTCCCAGACGATCGCACGGACACTGGGTTTTAAGTACCAAGATGTAACAGATGTTCGTCAGCTGCCAAAGAAGGTGAAATATGTTATTGCCAGCAACTTTTCAAGCGTCGTGTGCAATTGTCTTGAAAGCTTATTTACAGACAGCCGTGGTGGTATATATAGTAGCTAAGGTACTCGGCTGCTGATCCGCAGTTCGTGGGATAGAATCCCGGCTCTGGCGGCCGCATTTCCGATTGAGGCGGAAATGTTGTAGGCTGATTTATCAGTGTAAAAAAGACGGAACTTTTAGAAAAACACACACCCACACAGCGCTGTGTGTGTGTGTGTGTGTGTCTTTCTGAAAGTTCTGTTTTTTTTTTTTTTTGCGCTGATCAATCAGTCTAAATAATCATGAAATCATTATGAGCCAAGTCGCCTAAGCAACAGTTTTAGCAATGTTGTAGGCTCGTGTGCTCCGATTTGGATGCCCGTTAAAGAACTCCAGGTGGTCTAAATTTCCGGAGCCCTTCACTACGGCGTCTCTCATAATCATATGGTGGTTTTGGGACGTTAAATCCCACATATCAATAAATAAATAAATAAATAAATAAATAAATTAGCGGTGGACCAGTGGTTCTGGTTCTCGGCTGCTGACCCTAAGGTAGCGGATTCGATCTCGGCTACGGCAGTAGGGATCGAACTCGCAACCTGGAGGCGAAATGAAGGCGAAACGCCAAAAGCATGCGCACTGTGCCATTTCGGTATGCGTTAAACAACACAAAATCGAGAAATTTACTGTCATTATTGTATCGTGAATTCGGGACGTGAAACCTCAGATTAATAAAGGTTATTTACAAGTAGTATATTGATAGCTGTGCCACTGCGTTGAATAAATACTTTTGCACCTTAATAATTTCTTTCGATTACATTTGTGGCTGGCACTTTCTAAATTTCTGTGACAGGTGCGCGTTAGGAGGTTTCGTGCATACCGGACGAACTGTTATTGTTTTGGTCTAGCCACATACGGCTTTGCTGTAGAATATAATCGCTAGGCTACGCCATTATTTTCATTAAGAGAGCAGAGAGTTCGGGATAGTTGCCACTGGCTGACTTCACGCATGACAGAAAGACGATAGAGCAAGCGTAATAAGAGATAGGACGACATTCAGTTTGTTTTTCACCTGTTCCGTCGTCCTTTCACGTGCCATTTTATTGTGGCTAATCTGCATTTTTTTTTCACTACTATTACCAGCTAGTCAATAAACATGTTGCATTAGGTTCCAGGAAAGAGTGGTTGCTTCTATAGAGGCCACCATATCGGCAAGCACCAAGGTTTTTTTTTTTTTTTTTTAATTTGGGCTCGGCAAGACACTCGAAGGTCACGGCGTTGAGCCCGAACACTGCGGTCGCTTATCGATAGTGGCGAAATGCTAGAGGCCCAAGTACTGTGCGATATCAGTGCACGTTATCAGTGCGAGATATCAGTGCACGATATCAGTGCATTTCAGGACCCTTCACAATGGCGTACATCCTAATTATATCGTGGTTCTGGCTCAATAAAACACCCAATATTATTATAGTCAGGTTAATGGACCTATGATGTATACGGCAAAATGGCTTGCCCAACGCAGACTACTTCTTTAGTTTACATCTCATGCATGTACTACGTCATCAATGACGCTTTGTTTTGGGCGCGCTGAGGCATTTGCGGCATGTGTTACTTAAACGCTGCATTGTTCGGCAGCAGTGGCTTGAAAGGTTATTCTCTCATATTTCTTCCATAGCTAATAAACCTGTAGCAGACTGTGTCTACAAACACCACGGCTTCCTGCCGTAGTTACACTAAAAACTCTTTTATTTCTGACCAGTGCTAGACATTACAACAGTACAAGAAACTAACCGTCAGGAACTACAAATTTCTTGCTTCTACTAAACTTTTCACTAAGAGAAGGCAATGGTGTTTTCATAAAAATTTTTCAACTACATTTCAGTTTTTCCAGTGAAAGTTTCTTACCTGACGTACCGACGAACAGCGGCAATGATGTAAACAGCTATAGGATTTTGCTTGCGAACAACTTCCCGGGACTGGAGCAATAAATATGACATCACAAATCCACTGCAGAAGAAAAAAAATACACATGCCATCACTCACACAGAAACTTCAATAAAAAGAAAATATGAGCACTGCATTTGATGCCTGTGATTGTGCTGACCTTAAGAACAAAAATGTTGACACGCTGAGGAGGCCATTGAGCATCAATTGAAAAAGTACTTTCTCCGAGAGGTCTACAAAGATAAATGGTGTCCCTGCAAAAAAAAAATGACGAAATTGGTGTTACAGTCATAATTTACTCAACTACACACAACGCCATGTTGCTTACTCGCCCAGCTGACACCATAGAGATTGAAAAGGCGCCCTTTCTATGGTTTTAAAATGCTGGAAAGTTTACTGTATAGATTTTTGTGGAAAGAAAGAATGACATTTATTGACTGCTAATATCCATTCTGGTAAATCAATACAAAGCATAGGAGGAGGAAAATGTCTAATAATAAATCCAGAACGAACGTATGTATGTCGTACGTGTCGTATGCCGATTGTCAATGGTATAACTAGGACAAGTCAGTCATAAGCAGCTGATTATTGGAAGGCAATATTATCCAGCGAAAGAAATTGATAGATTGCACCAGCCCTTGCAGATGTCCTGCAGATTTGTTACATATGTTTACATACGCTAATGTCCGTGCAATAAAAACCAATTAGAGATATTTATAAGTCAAAGTTTGAATGCATGTAAAATGCCTCTCAATAATTTTCTATTCTTTGTACAGCAATTATATGGACACTCCTGGTAGACTTTCGCCGTCGCCATCATGTCCCGTATATGTATACTTATGTGTATATGGAAAAAAAGGCAGAAACATATATCAAAGGAAAAAATTCAAAGCAACCGACCGGGGATTCGAACCAGCGCTGACTCGCTAGACAGCTCTACCACGCGCCCTGCATCCGCCTGTATACTAACGGCGGCCTACTTATATACAACATTTATGGCTAGCCGTATGCATATATCAGAGGAACTTCCCGTGTATATGTGTGCGTCTTTCTTTCGCATTCTTCGTTGCGCTTCGGCGTGCTCTGCAAGTTTCGAACTGCTTGTGGTTCTTCGTATGACATTCCGATTATTTGCTATTGCATTCATGACTTCGCCCTGATGGCGAAGATTTGACTTTTTCCTAATATTCCGTTCTTTTTTATCTTTTGTATCTTCGGTACTTTTTTCTAGCACTCATTTCTTGGTGACAAGATAGCCCCTCTAGCGTACACTTCGCCATGTTTGTCATACACAAACACAAAAAATTAAAAGCACCTCGTGACACGTAGCGCTATGCCACTTGATCAAGGGAATTAGTTGTGGCGTGCTGTCCGTAACTATTTCCGCTAAGCAAGCAACACATACGAACTACGTTTTTTTTTCACACTTCCGATATTTGTCACAAAATGTTTAAGAAAAGGTCATTAACAAAGCTAGTGAATTAGCCATTTATACTGTCGATTGATATATTTGCGAATTCATGCGCACTTCTTCGGGCATTCAGCATAATTTGGTACTCAACAGCCATAAATGAGCTACGTACCTATATTATGGTTTAGAATAATTTGTTTGTATCGATAAAACTAAAAAACGCCAGGACTGCGTGTAAAGCGCCACACAGCCACAGCGAAAGCTGGAAGAGGGGCATTTCAATAAACCATAGTATGCTGCCTTCGGGCTAGTAATACGAGTATCCAATACGCCATTAATCATTATTTTGTCAAGGTGGAAAGCACTTACTACGGCAATATTCGTCATTTTGCGAAGAAACGAAGTACCCTCTGTTCATTTCCAAGGCATTATGCGATAGTTCTTCACGCCATGCCCGATGACGACGCAGAATAGTGGGTGATACATTTGTAATCGGTTGGAGGCATTCAACGATCCTAAAAGAAACCTGATCACTTCAACAAACCTTCGAAATTTTGCGAGTTGGTACAGGAATATTTTCAGAATGAACTTCTCAGAATTAGTTTATTGTCAAGCTGAACACTGCATTCGCCACCGCAAGCAACCTTTGGTTTAGTTGTACGTAAAAGTAATCTATATATAAATACACTCCCCCTCCACACCTGATTTTTTTACAGTGAAAGTTGTAATGAGATCACAAATCAGGTCACGCGTTGCGCCGTGGTTGTCCGCTTCCAGTATCCGTAACCACTGTCGCACGAAATAAGAATAAAATCCTAGTACCAAGCACACAGTGGAGCTCGAACCCGGGTCCGCTGCGTGCCAGCACAGTATTCTACCACTGAGCCATGCCGGTGCTTGGGACTTTTTGCAAACTTGCCTTAGGCAGGCTTGATGTCAGAAAAAAATCGCATATTATGAGTAATAAAGCGTTTTGGAAAAGCAAAAAGACAACCACGTGTCACACAATGTGATTAGCGTAACGAGTAGGTCGTCCAATGATCCAACCCATTACAAAAACGTATTCTTGATCACCTATTAACTGTTGCGCATACCCACTTCAGGTACAATTCGTATTTGCCATCAGCCACTGTATGGAGAATTGCACCAAAAGTCATAGCAAGTGTTTAGCGGATACCACGCTTTTCGAAAAAATGGCACATTGAATGCTGGCCTATTAACCAGAAATTATTATTACAACGCCATATTGGGTACCAAGCAAGTGTGCCTGCAGCAGTTGCCCAATGAGTCTTTAGAAAGGCTCTGCAAGGCCGCTCTTTTAGCTTTCGCTGTGACTGTGCAGCGCCTTCAGTAGAAGCCTGGCGTTCTTAAACACTCGTGGACGGGATTGGTGTTTGGGCTACCGTACTATCACACACACTACCAGCAATAGTTACCACTGGTTTATGACGGATTATAGTGGGTAAACGACAGGGGCCCAGCAAGAGCTGTGGGGGGGGGGGGGGGGAATTCTCAGTTTGGCATATATATATATATATATATATATATATATATATATATATATATATATATATATATATATATATATATATATATATATATATATATATATATATATATATATATATTTATTTATTTATTTATTATTTTATTGATACTGTAAGCCTTAACAGGCTCATACAGGAGTGGGAAGAAATGATACAGATTGTCATCTTTACATTAGACCACAGAACAAAAAATAGTAAAAAAAATGAACACAGGAAAAATAAGAATGAACAGTACAGACTACTCTAAACAATTACAAATTACAACTGTACATCTAGTCGAAGAACCAAGAAATAAAACAGAATAAAAACACCACAAGCTAACAGGGAACAGTGCATATTAGACACAGATCTGAGAATTGAAACATCGAGTGGCATATATATATATATATATATATTTATATATATATATATATATATTATATATATATATATATATATATATATATATATATATATATATATATATATAATAAGGGAAAGAAGTGTATACCTAATACCTAAGGGCTCGTTTTTCCGTGTTTTGACACAATATTAATGAGATCTAACAGACAGTATTGCCAAGGAATGTACATGGGAAGTTATTAGAACCAATGGAATGTACATAAGAAGAAAGAAAAGTCGATGAAAAAATAACCAGCCGTGAGCAACCTGCTCACGGCTGGTTATTCTTTCGTCCACTTTTCTTTCTTCTTATTTACATTCCATTGGTTCTCATAACTTCCCATGTACATTCCTTGGCATTACTGTCTGTTAGATCTCATTAATATTGTGTCAAAACACGGAAAAACGAGCCCTTAAGTATACACTTCTTTCCCTTATTTCATTTAACGAGGGTCTCGTACTGGCAGACTTGGTGTCATTAGGTTGTATACGAGGGGCTATTAATCACCTACCCACTCGTAATAAGTTCACGTGCTACGTGACGCCAAACATGCGCATAAAAGAGTGGTTCACACTCGACGCTTGGCTTATAGATGGCGCTGACTAAACCTCCTACTTCTAAGTTCACTTGTAAACCCAAAAAAAAGTGGATGGAGGGAAGGCCGCTGTGGAGCTCAGTGGTTAGAACATCGAACGCGATATATATATATATATATATATATATATATATATATATATATATATATATATATATATATATATATATATATATATATATATATATATATATATATTTATATATATATATATATATATATATATATGTAGTGAAGAAGAGGAGCTTCACAGGCATTTCTCGGCGCCTCAGGGGCATCGCCATCAGCATAAGCTCGTGCTTGCTGCGCTTGGCCGGACGCTGCTGACTGCTTTGCTTTCTGCGTTCAGCTCTGCAAATAAACCCCGTTACAAGTGGTGGAGTCTGCTGGGTTTCGATCACCCTGGAGCTTCGGAATCGCATTTTACCATCCATTATGCCTACCGACGCAAGCACCGCTCCAACTCCTCCACCGGCACTGCCTACTGTTTTCTGTGCCGGTTCTCTGCGTCTGCGAGATCCCCCTGTTTTCTCAGGCACAGAAGACAAGGACGTTGACGACTGGATTTCAATGTACGAGCGAGTGAGTACTCACAACAAATGGGATGACGCCGCCAAGTTGGCCTACGTCTCCTTCTACCTGTCGGACGTGGCCAAGCTGTGGTTTATAAACCACAAAGCAGAACTCCCTACATGGTCGGTCTTCAAAGCGAGCCTCACACAAGTTTTCGGACGGCCTGAGCTACGCAAACGCCGTGCCGAGCAACGCTTACATACTCGGTCTCAGCAGCTTGGAGAGAATTTCACAAGCTATATTGAGGACGTTCTGGACCTTTGCAAGCGAGTCAACGAGTCGATGTTCGAAGAGCTTAAGATCAAGCACATCATTCATTTTCATTTCATTTTATTATACTGTCAGCCCCATTTAGGCTATAACAGGGGTGGAAAAAAACCCAATATACATACAAAAAATAGGTACTCCCTATACAACTTCTAATATACATAACAATGAATGACAAGAAATAGCCAAAGCCCTCTGCTTTTGAGGACATAGAATAAGCAAATTATAAACTATACATCTTTATACGCGACATCCTTTAGGCCCTTCAAGAAAGAAAATACACATTCCGATAAGACAGTGGAATTCGGCAGCCTGTTCCACTCACTGATCACCCGCGGAAAGAAACTGAACTTAAAACAATCGTTGTGTGATCTGGGAAGGGGGATGTACATGTTATGCCGGTGCCTTGACGTTTCCCCAGTTTTTATATACATATACTTCGATTTCTCTAATTTTACTTCTTTTTTAATGATTAAAAA